AAATTAATTTTTAAATTTTTTTTTTCCCCTTTTTTGGTTTTTCCAAAATTTTTACCCCCCCCCCCCCCCCCCCAATTCAACGCACACACAGACACGCACTCTTTTCACATAAGTTGAGCCAAACTACCGAACTTCAATGTTGCCGAACTATAGAGTCTAAATCAGCCCAGTGATTGGTCAGATTTTTATGAATAGCGCGTTGATCAAACTGAGGGCATTCATGAAAACAACTTCTCTGGAGTAGCTGAAGATCACGGTAGTGGAGGTCCGTGCTAGTGCTTTAGATTAGACCTAGAACTAGACTTTTAAGTTATCGCCCAACTTATGGGTTTTGTTAGGCTTCATAAGTCTTAGATCTATGTTATATCTAAATAACTGCTGGTCGGTTTCATGCGTTCAGCATTATCACATATAATTTCAAATTTAGCAGGATCTAAGTTGTGCACATCATGTTTAGTAAATTGTAGACTAGAAGTCTATTTCATATTATATGGTTGATTTCAGAAACCTATGTATAGGCACATCAGCTAAAAATGACATCATTAGTCCAACCTTACGTGGACCAGGAGAATATAATTGGAACTAACAGTAGTAGAAAAGGACAGACTACAACTGGCTCAAGACAAGGTAACATAGCAAGGCTTTGTTCGTTTTTTTTTAAAGATCTACGCCTTTTATGTGGACACAGCGTCAAAATGTGACACTTCATGTTTATATATCTTTTAACCCCCTTATCTAATAAGCATACACGTAGGATTAATTGCTGCAGCCTCCTTTTCAGGTGGAAAAATTTTCCAAGGATGCAATGAGCAGAGAACAGTACAGAAGGGAGGACCAAGAAAAGCATTGGGTATTCTCAACACTGGAAATCAAAACATTGAACGTGTTACTGGTAAACAGGATACCTTCATCAAGAAACAGCCAAGCAGGGATTTGTCAAAAAAGAACAAAGAACAGCCGAAGACAGAGGGTGCATCATTAAAGAAAACATTAAAACAGGTACATTTCACACAGTATATCTACCCATGTTGCTTTTCATGACAGTACCATGCAATTGAATGTCTCCATTGTACTTTTGTGAAACAGATTGTTTCATCATAGTTCTTTCTTTAATACATGAGATACATGTAAAGAAAACCTTCAAAATGGTGTGAGTAATGTATTCACAATTTATCAGCTATACATTTTTATTAGTACATTAATCACATATTTCCAGCGAAAAGAAGCAGTTTTACCCAAGTGCAATCAACAGGTCTCCATTAGCACATTGCCAGTATCAGTATGCAAGGCAGCCTCCTGGTGGGATGATGAACCAGAAACTATGCACATTTATCAAGACCCAGAAGGTAGTAAGAGTAATTCTGGTGTTAACTATTCCTTTAAATGACTTCTTCTATATGTGGCTTTGATTGTATGTTTAGATCTGTTGAAAGTCAGTGCAATTTGGAATGGAAAACAATTTTAGCTAATCCATAATGTTCATGGTACTTTAAATACTGAAATACATAGAAGCATGATTGTATAAGTACTTTTTTTTCAGATGATTTTGAAGACATATTCCCATCAGAAGAAAGACCAAGCAGCTACATAAGTCAGATTAAGAAGTGGAGACCTTCTATGTTGTTTTCCTTGTGTGGTAGAAAGTCTGGGGAAATTGATCCTCCCTCAGACTTGGAGGATAATGGGATCATTGCAGATATCATGTCAATAAGTGAAGGTAGTGATGTTTATAATTAAAAGATGGGTAATTTAAGTTATTGAGTCAGGCCTAGTGTAATTCTGTTGTCATTCAAGATTAACTAAAGATATCACATAAATAATTCCAAATGGTTTCATTATCCCGTCTGGAAATATCCCTTCAAATGTATAAAATCCTCAATTGATACGATGTATCCTTCTTCCCAAAGTGCCTGGTTTTGTTTTCAGGCGTCTGCCTTGAAGAGGAGGAGATTGTTCAGCTGGAATATGTCCCATTACCAGATATAGACAGTCTTTATCTGAACACTTCCAGTCCTTGATACACATGAAGCCTGTCATGAAGAAATATAACCATCTGTGTTAACTAAATTTGATGCAAAGTATTTTTTGTTCAGATCCCCATAAAACCATAGGGATCGAAGAAAGGGGAACTCTATCAGAGACAAACTGGTTATAAATACCAACTTTACAGATTATCTGAATGAAGAAACAAAATTTATATGCAGTGTACTCTTGACCAGAACTTTACAATGAATGATAGTTTTGATCTTTAAGTCAAAAGCTTGTCACCCTTTATATATATATATATGTTAATGGGGCCATCCAGAATAGATGATCCGAGTACTAACTGATCTGCCGGCAAAATATGGCTGACCCCACTTCAAAAGCGATGCCGCTGATTCCTTGATGGTCTCCCTGCCTCCACACACGCCGTAGCTGCAGGAGCCTTGCAATTAAACCTCAGAGCCAAGATTTAATGGCGCGTGTGGAAGCGGGGAGACCATCGGGAATCAGCGACATTGAAGTGGGGTAGGCCATATTTAGTCAGCGGATCAGTTAGTACTCAGATCAACTATTCTAAATGGCCCCAATGTGGTTTGATTTAAGATGTTCAACTGGTTACAAGTAAATATCACATTACCTTGCCCTTTGGTAACCAGATATGAGGAAACTTCTTTTTTTGTTTTTGTTTTTATGAAGAGGTATGCTGTATAGAATTGAAAGATTTACATAGTGGATAGCTTGTTGAGAGATTCATTTTGTATGAGGGTTTTGAATAGTTTTCCTTAAGAAAAGCAAAATGCAACACCAGTATTGTATGCAAAAACAAACATTCTGTGCATAGCCAAAATTTACGTTTGAATTTTAACATTTGTGGAATATGCATGTCGAAGCATGGTTATAAAAACAAGTGTTTAAATGGGTATTTCACATCAATTATTCCCCTTGGTTCTTTTCTTTTCTAAATTCCCACTTTGAATCTTTCTTTTATACTGACAGTCACTAAAAACGCATCAGAAAACTTTCTTGTACTTTTGTACTCTTGTACTTTTACCGAGAATTGATTCCAACCATATAAACAAGTACAAATGCACTTGTTTGGTCATAAGAGAGTGGGCTGACCACTCGGATGTTTAAAATTTCCGCTTCAGTGATTTTGTGGTCAGCTGTTACAAAATTTTGTTTTTCCGGTCTCGTGATTGGTGTGAATTAATCAGGTTCAATATATAGTGATTAATTAAGCCTATTTAAGGTAGTCACCAAATCCAGTATGACACATGACAAAAAGGTTCTGTGATGCCACGTCTGACACTGGAAGAGCAACTGCGGACCCTGGGGATGCTGGAGGCTGGGCAGAACCAAAGAGATTTGATCACGTGGCCTTGCATTTTAATGATCTTTTCTGACCTTTATTTCACCTTGTGTGGCTGAATAATGGGTCATATTTCACATGAAAACTGTTATTTTCTTAATGTGCCAAAGGAACTTAAAATATTATTTGATAAATAAATGATGCGTTTTCCTTGACTGTTAGTATATATTGACTATATTCATGCTATATCACATCTAGAGCCTTTGTAAATATATTTTTCAGTTTTGTATAAGTGAATGTGCAATAAAAATTAAAGCAGAAAATGTCATTGTTGTGATTCTATTTCTGTAATATTTATAATTAAAACTTTATTTAATTTAATCCTTAAGTTGAGGGAAGGGCCATTATTCCATTTAATCTAGAACACCATTTTAGGGACCATTCCCAGACCCTAACGTACTAACTGTGGATCAATCTATCTCCAAGGGGATTCTCAAAAAATAGCAATCAACTTAAGCGAGAATCCCCTTGGGATAGATCAATCCTGTTAGATGGATCTAGGTATGGGAAAATTGCTGAAATGACTTGTTAACCAGATTTATGATGAAACCTATCATTCTTTAGCATTCTGTAAAAAACGTTCAGCGTTTTTATCATTTATAAAGGTGACATTGCTGAAATTTTGCCAAATTCAGTCTGACAAAACACAGTCTGCTAAATCAAATGTGACCTTTGGACACACAAGAAAAGTGGAGTCTACGTAACATACACTCAAAAGATTTCAGACTTCAGTGTATTAGAGAATTCACCTAACAGCATCTCGCCCAAATTTGTTTTGGTGACAATAGTTTACATTTACCACTTTGAATAAATACTAACCGATTAGCTACAGTATTAGCTGAACATTGCATAAAGCAGTTGCTTGGGCATTATTGTGTCATAGTGGTGATTTCACAGCCAAATTTCATTTTAGAAACTAGGTAAAGATTTTTCACATCTCAGTTATAATGAAATTACACAAATCTCTTAATGTATTTTATTCACTGGAAGGAACTGTAACCATGTTTTAAAAGGATTGAGTACCTTGAGTCAAGGCTTCACATCCTAATTAAAGTAAAATCAATCTCATTTTAATTGTTTTGTCAAGGTCTCACCTAAATGTCTTAATTGGCTTTAATATCTTTTGCCATAGGAATCACTGTGCTTCATACTTTGTATCAGTATACTGTATATAGAGGAAACTTTGTAGAGAGATTAGAGAACAGAGATCATCAGAGTACTGTAGGTTAGTGGAGCCAATAGCTGGATTGTCTGTGCTGTCTTAGGAGATTTCAGATTTCTCAGCCAATGAAATAAATGCATAGATCAGTCAGTTTGTGGTTGATCTCTGGAAAACATATCACTGATGCTGTGACAAGTAACCAAAATGTCGTGTCCCCAGTGATAGACCCCACCTATAAAAATGTTTCGTCTTCAGCATCATAATCAAGTAATTTGTGATCTATCTGGAAATGATCTACTATCTCAGTAAGAGTTGGTTTCGGTTCTGGAGCCAAGTCCCTTAATTCCTGAATGGCACCTTGGCATACATGTTTCCATTTGGTTATGAGGCCCTGCAGCTTATCTAGGTCATTCTAAAATGAAAGATAATGTATATGCAAAAGTAATTAAATGTTTAACAGCAGTTGAAAGAATGAACTAGAGAAGATTTACCTTAAGTTTACCTTGTAACTACATATACGTACTTGCACACAAGGAAAAAATCACAAATGCAAATTTACAATAAAAATCAAATAAATAAACAAAGAACACAAGTTATGACCTTTGATCTGTAGAGCTTTGCCATTTTCAATCTTCTCAGTTGTTCTTCTTTGAATTCAATTTGTTGTTGAAGACAAAGATTTATATGATCAAGATCTGAAATACTGTGTGTGTCTTTAACTGCAGAGGCATCAGTTTCCTTGTCAACCTGAGTTGCTCTTGACACCGAATCTGTAAACTTATCCTTTGATGGTGCTTCCTCTGTCGGAATAGTGTTTACCGATCTTGCATGTTTCTCAACTAAAACATTTTCATCTTTTTGACAGGTTTTTAATTCCTTATTCTTCCTCCGGAAAGGAAATTTGTCATCACAAATATCTTGTAATGATCTTTTTGGTGTCCTTTTATTAACTTCTATATGGCTCTCCATTGGTTTTGGATTTGGCAGTGGAGAAGAGAAAGTCAGAACTTTATGAGGTTTCACACAACTGGTGCTCTTGTGTGCTGACTGAGAACACGAAGCTAAGTCTGGACCCACCACAGGGGATTCTGTTGTAGCTGCAGGCATATGGTACCGACTACATTTCTGTAACCTAGCTCTTAAGGAATTACTCATCTAAAAAAAATATATATATATAATACTTTACTAGTTTATAAATAAATATATATTCATTAAAACATGATTCATCATTGTTGGGGATTTCTTAGTATTTAATGTAATTTCTTGTCAATATAACTTTGGTCAATTAAGACTGACCACGGTCACCCAGTTATTGAAACAGGTAGTTATCAACAACGTGGTCACCGCATAAAAATCTGTCCGTGTCGCTACATTTACATGTACCTGTCTTCCAGCAAGGTGTGGAATTTTTTCTTCGGTGCGTTTTAGAGAGTTTCTGTCGGTCATACCTAAGCTGAAGTAGATGACAAAGCAAACAACTTATACAACAAATACAATATCTACATAAACATTATTTGTGAAGATAATTGATACATAGCTCTTGTGTTTTAAATAATCTGGGCAGTGTACATTTTCAATTTTCCGCTCCTGATGTTGCCTAACTATTAGAGATGTCGGAGTTTCACGTTATCAGCGAGACCTAAGAAATGCGTGCGCATCGCAAACGGCGTAGCGGAAATTTCAAAACACAACATATATATTGCAGATATTGATTGTTTTTGTGAAGCTTATAGGTTTGTTGTATTCAAAGTTTATTTAATGTTTTATGTTAAAGCATATAATTACTCGTTTATTTTTTTTGTGTGTCCCTAGACCGTCCAAGCTTTTAGAAATATAGTTATTAATTATGAAGTGCACTGCCCCCGGGAGTTTGTGTGTGTTTGGGGTTATGCAGAGTGGCGAAGATCGGTATTTAAATGAAATCTATAAACACTCCAGATACCTATACTTTATCAGTTTTACTATACTTTATGTTTTTCACAGGAGTACTCTCAGTTTTTAAAATGAGTCCTGTCAACGTCTCCTTTTAGGATTTCACATAAGGCAGCTACTATGCCAGCTGGAAGAGACTTGCACTCTCCAGCGCCAAACGCTGTTGTAATGCGACCCCACACACCTCAAGAATACATTTCTCCATCGACCAGGCGTCATGTTTCGCACACCAGCCATTCACCTCTGCCAACTGGTGTACAGATGAATGATGATGAAGCAGAGAAGAAAGCCAGGCGGAGGTCCAGGGTGATGGAATTACAGAGGCATAATCTCAGTAGTCCATCCTCTCCAGCAGACAGGTAACTGTTGGCATAGAATAGCAAAATGTATCTATTTCTTTATTTTTCACCACTTGCCAAGGTGGGCTCATGTAAAACTATGTTTAAAAAAGCCATTTCTATTGAGTGGATTTGTCAAACATGTATCCACTTGTCTGAGCAAAGATGCATTAACCTTGGCTTGTTGATGAGTGTTGGATATGAATCAGAGATCTATCTTCATTTGATATTTGGAATAGTCTGTGATTTTGGGGAAAACTCCATAGCAGCTAATTTAAGCAATTTATATATATATGCAGGTTTTCATCCAGGTGAAGGAGAACAAAACATTCAAGTTTGATATACCCTGTTTTTTGTTTAGGAGAAGGTCTGCCCCTTTAAGTGGTTTGTCCAACAATCAGCTAGCAGAACATTATTCAAGCTGCATCAAGCTGTCAGCTGAGAATGTGAGTTTCAGATCTTTTTGTGTAATAATGCCTTAATTATTTTGCTATGTATGGTCACTGCACAGTTAGTTACTTTGTTACACTAAGAGCATTTGCTATTGCAAAATTAATTTTAGAGCGTGCCTGGAAAAGCTTACATAGAAATGTAGCAGCCCCTGATTTTAAGCATTAAATGAAAATAAATCTATCATCAATTTGATATGTCACATAAATATTTTTCAGAAAATCAATTCTAAGAATGCATTTGGCCTTCACCTGATTGATTACATGGCAGACCTGTTGAAGAAAAAAGAATTGAATAACTTTCAGGTAAGTTATTTATTTTTTTCCATTTGTCACCCAATGCTGAAGTATCTTTTCTGTAGAATATGAACAGTACAAAAATGTGCACATTCATTTTTAATAAATGGTGTAAATCAGGTAAGATGTGCAAGTATACATTTAGGCAGGAAGGAATAAATATGAAAACAAAAATGTGAAGGATTGTATTTGTACTGAACATGTGTATTTGTATCTGTGCAGGTTGCTAGTTCCACTCTGGATGCCAGTGCCAAGATCTATGCTGGCAGAGTAGATGCAATTCACACAGACACTTACAAGATGCTGGGTGGCCTAGGAAGAGGGCAAGCTGAAGGGGACAAGGGTAAACTAATGCAAAACTGATAATTATAGAAAAAGAGCCTAGACACACTGCACTGGCAGTTTTTGTTCATGTGAAAAATGTCTACACCAGTTAAATATTGATTTGGCTGATGAATAAATAAGACATTGAGTCTCTTAGCATTATTGAGTTGAATTTAACTATAAAGCAGTCCTTGAATGTTGTAATTTGTTGATACCTTTCTGTGACAAATTTTGGTTTATTTTGGAATGCATAATTGTTTTGCAGAAAAAAATGGGGATGTGCCTGTAGATGCTGATCAAGAAGAAGACTTGAATAAAAAAAGAAAGAGGGTGAATGTTTGACTTTTATTACATTGTTCATTTATGGGAATCATATGACATAAGCTAAAGTCTTGGAACTTAGCATCAAAATAAAGCTAGATTTTACAGAATATAGAAGAGAATGAAGTTGGAAATAATGGAAGACTGACAAATATGGCACGGTGACAAATAAAGCTGACAGAATTTGTCCATTGATATTTCTCTAAAGTACTGTAGAATTACAATCTGTTGCACAGCAGTTGGTATTCATCTTGTTTTGTGTGTCACTTTTGTATTCTTTTCTAAGACATTTCTGACACACAATTTCCCCCTTATTGCTAAAATGTTCAGCACACTTGACGCGGACTCTTGCAAGTTTACTAGTCATGTACCACATTGTGCAGTGCCGACAGCCTCATTTTAGGCTATCTCAGATGATTCCCACTACATGAGTTACTATACTTGCTTTGTTTCCCCTTGACAAAAATTCTTTTAGAGGATTTGATGTACTTCTTAGAAATTGAAAAATAATTTATACATGATAACAATAATTCAATAAAAGACATTCCAGAAATTATTAAGAAAGAATGTATTCCTAGATTAAATAAGTGTAGTGTTCTTTGATTATGATTATTCAATTTTTTTAAAGTATACAGATTTGTTGCTCCATCATGACAATACTTTGTTGTTTTTTTTTTATAGGCCAGGAAGAGCAACACAGTGGAGCAAAATCTTAAGAATATAAATGTCAGCAAATTTGATTTGGAATTTGAGGTGAGAATTGATTTTGTATACAAGCACTGTTACATTAATAAGGATTTTCATAATGTTACTAGTCTGATATCAGATTTTTTGACCCAATCATTTACCTGAAATGAGGATATAGTCCTTTTTGATCAGCATGAATGTAAGAAGTTTTGATGATTTAATTGTACCCTGTGCACTTGCCAATTATGTTAAAGGACAGCAACAGTTGAAAAGTTTCTCTTATTGTAAGGTTGACCCCCTGTTCCAAAAGACTTCTGCAGCATTTGATGAAGGAGGCACCAGTGGGCTGTTGTTGAACCACCTGAGGTGTATGGATGACTCCTCAGAATTGGTTTTGGACTCTAATACTGTGCTTATGGGCACGAGAGACACAACACAAAACAACAGGAGGACTCAGGCAGTTGATCTTCAGGAATTCAAAGGTTAGTTTTAATACTCAAATCAATCAATGTCTAGAATTAGCATGTTCAGGTGTTTTGTTATTTAAATAAAAACACAAGAAATGGATAAAGCACATTCTTATTTAAGATTTATCAGTTAAAATATTTTTTGAAAACAAAGTCTTTGTGAAATGACTATGTTTTAAGATGTTTTTCCTCATGTTAATATAATTTGTGTATTCTGCAGATTTGTACCAGGGTGTTAATCTCCAGTCTCTTCAGATTTGTCCACTGTTTGCAGACTTTGAATTCACTAACTGGAACAAAGATTCTGAGGTGAATACTTGACTTTCTTGAAATAACAAGGCCATTGTCAGTATATTTTATTTAAAATATGAGGTACTGTCTGGTTAAATGCAGATCAAGTTGGACACCACCTTTATCAGACTATTTTTACACACATACGCATGCGCACACCCCCACACCCCCACCCCCTCCACACACACTTAAGTGTTTTGTGAAGAAACTCTTCCTTCAAAGGATGTTGTATGGCATTGTTGAATTTAAAAATCTGTCCAAAATTCTTCCTGTTGATTTCTACATTTCAGGACAGTTCAAGCAGCATGTTCCATCAGCTTGGAAGGGGAGACCATGCATTTGACATAGATGCTGAACACGAGCCAATACCTGGCACAGGGGCTGGTGAAACTGCAGGAGATTTCATGGACGATGATTTTGGAGATGAATATAATGATGCAGGTGAGACATATGGCTGAAATGGAATTAGACAAAAACTGTGAGGGTCATGCATAGAATGTAGTCAAGTAATCATATGAATGCACTAAACATAGTTAAATTATTTTCATTTGTTTGCATACCCTATTTATTATCTCTTACATGAAAACCAATTCTTCAGGAAATGATTCATATGGCAGCAGTACAAGAGGAGAGCCATCAGTTTGTATAGGAGATGGAACAGAAGCCAAGCTGGTGCAAAGTGCCATTAGTAATATCACGTGAGTGGTGCATGCAAAACAGTATGTGGAAATATTTATGCAATGTTTTGATCACACAGTCCGTCTTTCATATCTGATATCAGATGTTGACTGATTAAGGCCAATGACCACTAACTTTTTAATAAAAGATTTCACAATGCAGCTTTATGATTTGGTGAAATGTGCTATTAAAATATAAGTTTGATCGGATGTAAGTCTTTTTTGCATAGATGCTATTAGTAATGTGCCATCACATGATATTTCTCTTTTTTGATTAGACATGGAACAATAGGTACTTTGCTGCAGGTGCTAGCAGCAGAGCCAGGGGAGTATTCCTATTTCAACACAGATTTATTACAGACTTGGGCTGGACCAGATCATTGGAAACTTAGACCTCAGTCTAAAGGTATTTCATATTATTCTTTGTAATTTTTTTTTATTTTTTGATTGAAGGAGTATATTAGTAGAGAAATAAAGTTTGACTTTCTAATTGCCTTAGTAGTACTTTTCTTTAACTGCTTATGTAGCTCTTAAAAGTATAAGATTGAAATGCAGCAGTTTGACCAATTATTATTATTATTATTATTAGCTAATCAGATGGTAGACTTATTTTGAAAACAATTGAGATTAATTTCTTTATCATTTTCTTTGCTCTTTAGAATCAAAGTACAGTGTCAGCAGAGGAGACACAACACGAAAGAACAAAGAGAAGAAACAAGCTTTCAGACTTGACTATGACCAGGAGGTTGACTTTGATTCATATTTCAAGGAGTCCAGGGCTGCAACAACACTTACAAAGGCAACCTTAGAGAAGTACAGTAAAAGTCAAACTACATTGCCTGAAGACTTACATTATGAAGCTGAAACATTGTTCAGGTTATTCATGAAGGAAAGAGTTATGGTGGGTGATCAGCTTTACTTAGATTTTTGAATTGATATGACTTATGACTTGAAATGACCTATTCAACACTCTAATACTTTTTTCTGTGGAAAGTTTAGCAAAGATTTTTATAGTCCAGATAAGGATTTTTTTCTTTGCTCGAGAAATGTTACTACTCAAAATAAGACAACCAGCTTTTTGCTGTTTGAAATTATTTGATATTATTTAATGAGAATCAGGGATAAAGATATATTGTATGGTTGCTATGAAATTTAACTCTCCTTCTGTAACTATATTTCTTTTATAAACAGTCATTTAGAGTAGTTTAATATTATTATATTTTGATTAAATGTGTGAATGTCTTAAAAGCTTACTTTATCATTCTATTTTTTTGTTTGTTTGAATTTCCAGGTGAAAAGACAGTTGAACACATCAGGGGATGTGGATGATGGTATTGAAAATTATGATTATGATAATGCAAATGACAGAGAAAATTATTGCCCAGGAATTGATGTAAGTTCTTTGTTGTTTTGATCTTGTTCATTTACTGGCCAATGTGAGGTAATTGCACTCAAAACATAACAGTATTTGAAAAGAAGCATAATTACATATTTTTCACATATTACTTCAGATGGCTGATATGTTGTACTGTTTTGGCCATGCATGGTCACAGATATAGTTAAGACGAGTTAGTATTACATGGAGTTGTTATTATTGCAGAAGCCCTACTAAATGGTTAATGGTATTTACATATTCTTTATTACAGGGGGCAAATGACAACGATGATGATGATGATGACCTTGGTGGCGGTTTTAACTTGAGTTCTGGTCCCAGTGAGTACAGTCACATTTCCCAAGACACATCACAAGGTAGCTTCCTGGCCAATGACAGTGTAATGAATGGTACTATACTGGCAGGAGACAATTTGGTAGCTCAGCCTAATAGGGTATGTACAGTTTTAGAGCAAATAGTAAAATGTATACATAATTTTAGAGAACTGATTATTTTATATATATTTCTTGTACCATTCTGTTTGTGAATGCTTATTATTCATATAAGGGACCGCAAGTAAGGCTATTCTGGAAAATCTTGAAAATACTTTGGACATGTAGTTCTAGCCAGAAAATCTATATGTTAAATGTTCTTATGCCTGATGCAGTGATAATTTTTACACCTTTCACATTTTTCTAGGTGGCAAAGATTGACATTTCCTATGCTAAAACAGCCAAGAAAATAGATGTGAAAAAGTTAAAGGCTGGCATTTGGAACCTGTTGACTAGCACGGGTGAAGATAATAAGGTTTGATCCTATTCTATTAAGTTTTACATTAAAATATTACTTGATATGCTTTATTGGTAAAAAATATAGGCAAGTGCTAACACACAACGTATTTGGAATAGTTTATATGCATGTTTTTATATTTGATATTGCTCCTAGTCTTAACTTGAGAGATTCATGTTACATTCCTTTAATTTCCTTATTTNAATTGAGAAGTTTCTCTTATTGTAAGGTTGACCCCCTGTTCCAAAAGACTTCTGCAGCATTTGATGAAGGAGGCACCAGTGGGCTGTTGTTGAACCACCTGAGGTGTATGGATGACTCCTCAGAATTGGTTTTGGACTCTAATACTGTGCTTATGGGCACGAGAGACACAACACAAAACAACAGGAGGACTCAGGCAGTTGATCTTCAGGAATTCAAAGGTTAGTTTTAATACTCAAATCAATTAATGTCTAGAATTAGCATGTTCAGGTGTTTTGTTATTTAAATAAAAACACAAGAAATGGATAAAGCACATTCTTATTTAAGATTTATCAGTTAAAATATTTTTTGAAAACAAAGTCTTTGTGAAATGATTATAGATGTTTTAAGATGTTTTTCCTCATGTTAATATAATTTGTGTATTCTGCAGATTTGTACCAGGGTGTTAATCTCCAGTCTCTTCAGATTTGTCCACTGTTTGCAGACTTTGAATTCACTAACTGGAACAAAGATTCTGAGGTGAATACTTGACTTTCTTGAAATAACAAGGTCATTGTCAGTATATTTTATTTAAAATATGAGGTACTGTCTGGTTAAATGCAGATCAAGTTGGACACCACCTTTATCAGACTATTTTTACACACATAAGCATGCGCACACCCCCACCCCCTCCACACACACTTAAGTGTTTTGTGAAGAAACTCTTCCTTCAAAGGATGTTGTATGGCATTGTTGAATTTAAAAATCTGTCCAAAATTCTTCCTGTTGATTTCTACATTTCAGGACAGTTCAAGCAGCATGTTCTATCAGCTTGGAAGGGGAGACCATGCATTTGACATAGATGCTGAACACGAGCCAATACCTGGCACAGGGGCTGGTGAAACTGCAGGAGATTTAATGGACGATGATTTTGGAGATGAATATAATGATGCAGGTGAGACATATGGCTGAAATGGAATTAGACAAAAACTGTGAGGGTCATGCATAGAATGTAGCCAAGTAATCATATGAATGCACTAAACATAGTTAAATTATTTTCATTTGTTTGCATACCCTATTTATTATCTCTTACATGAAAACCAATTCTTCAGGAAATGATTCATATGGCAGCAGTACAAGAGGAGAGCCATCAGTTTGTATAGGAGATGGAACAGAAGCCAAGCTGGTGCATAGTGCCATTAGTAATATCACGTGAGTGGTGCATGCAAAACAGTATGTGGAAATATTTATGCAATGTTTTGATCGCACAGTCAGTCTTTCATATCTGATATCAGATGTTGACTGATTAAGACCAATGACCACTGTAACTTTTTAATAAAAGATTTCACAATGCATTTTTATGATTTGATGAAATGTGCTATTAAAATATAAGTTTGATCGGATGTAAGTCTTTTTTGCATAGATATTATTAGTAATGTGCCATCACATGATATTTCTCTTTTTTGATTAGACATGGAACAATAGGTACTTTGCTGCAGGTGCTAGCAGCAGAACCAGGGGAGTATTCATATTTCAACACAGATTTATTACAGACTTGGGCTGGACCAGATCATTGGAAACTTAGACCTCAGTCTAAAGGTATTTCATATTATTCTTTGTAATTTTTTTTTTTTTTTTTTTGATTGAAGGAGTATATTAGTAGAGAAATAAAGTTTGACTTTCTAATTGCCTTAGTAGTACTTTTCTTTAACTGCTTGAATTTGTTTTCAAAACTTATGTAGCTTCTAAAAGTATAAGATTGAAATGCAGCAGTTTGACCAATTATTATTATTATTATTATTATTAGCTAATCAGATGGTAGACTTATTTTGAAAACAATTGAGATTAATTTCTTTATCATTTTCTTTGCTCTTTAGAATCAAAGTACAGTGTCAGCAGAGGAGACACAACACGAAAGAACAAAGAGAAGAAACAAGCTTTCAGACTTGACTATGACCAGGAGGTTGACTTTGATTCATATTTCAAGGAGTCCAGGGCTGCAACAACACTTACAAAGGCAACCTTAGAGAAGTACAGTAAAAGTCAAACTACATTGCCTGAAGACTTACATTATGAAGCTGAAACATTGTTCAGGTTATTCATGAAGGAAAGAGTTATGGTGGGTGATCAGCTTTACTTAGATTTTTGAATTGATGTGACTTATGACTTGAAATGACCTATTCAACACTCTAATACTTTTTTCTGTGGAAAGCTTAGCAAAGATTTTTATAGTCCGGATAAGGATTTTTCTTTGCTCGAGAAATGTTACTACTCAAAATAAGACAACGAGCTTTTTGCTGTTTGAAATTATTTGATATTATTTAATGAGAATCAGGGATAAAGATATATTGTATGGTTGCTATGAAATTTAACTCTCCTTCTGTAACTATATTTCTTTTATAAACAGTCATTTAGAGTAGTTTAATATTATCATATTTTGATGAAATGTGTGAATGTCTTAAAAGCTTACTTTATCATTCTGTTGTTTTGTTTGTTTGAATTTCCAGGTGAAAAGACAGTTGAACACATCAGGGGATGTGGATGATGGTATTGAAAATTATGACTATGATAATGCGAATGACAGAGAAAATTATTGCCCAGGAATTGATGTAAGTTCTTTGTTGTTTTGATCTTGTTCATTTACTGGCCAATGTGAGGTAATTGCACTCAAAACATAACAGTATTTGAAAAGAAGCATAATTACATATTTTTCACATATTACTTCAGATGGCTGATATGTTGTACTGATTTGGCCATGCATGGTCACAGATATAGTTAAGACAAGTATTACATGCAGTTGTTATTATTGCTGTAACAGAAGCCCTACTAAATGGTTAATGGTATTTACATATTCTTTATTACAGGGGTCAAATGACAACGATGATGATGATGATGACCTTGGTGGTGGTTTTAACTTGAGTTCTGGTCCCAGTGAGTACAGTCACATTTCCCAAGACACATCACAAGGTAGCTTCCTGGCCAATGACAGTGTAATGAATGGTACTATACTGGCAGGAGACAATTTGGTAGCTCAGCCTAATAGGGTATGTACAGTTTTAGAGCAAATAGTAAAATGTATACATAATTTTAGAGAACTGATTATTTTATATATATTTCTTGTACCATTCTGTTTGTGAATGCTTATTATTCATATAAGGGACCGCAAGTAAGGCTATTCTGGAAAATCTTGAAAATACTTTGGACATGTAGTTCTAGCCAGAAAATCTATATGTTAAATGTTCTTATGCCTGATGCAGTGATAATTTTTACACCTTTCACATTTTTCTAGGTGGCAAAGATTGACATTTCCTATGCTAAAACAGCCAAGAAAATAGATGTGAAAAAGTTAAAGGCTGGCATTTGGAACCTGTTGACTAGCACGGGTGAAGATAATAAGGTTTGATCCTATTCTATTAAGTTTTACATTAAAATATTACTTGATATGCTTTATTAGTAAAAAATATAGGCAAGTGCTAACACACAACGTATTTGGAATAGTTTATATGCATGTTTTTATATTTGATATTGCTCCTAGTCTTAACTTGAGAGATTCATGTTACATTCCTTTAATTTCCTTATTTTTATTATTTAGGAGAACCAAGGAGAAGGAGACCAGTTGAAAAAACAAGTTTGTGGTGAACATTCATTCCAGTCCCTCCTCCATGAGCTTCCAAAAAAAGTGTCTCGACATATGGCTAAGAATCTCAGTGTACCCATTGCATTTGTGTGTTTATTGCATTTAGCAAATGAAAAGGTAAATAATTAATAGGTATATGTAATGAGTATATCTTCCTCTTAATTGTTAAAGCAGTATTTAAGCTAGCTTTAAAGAAGTGATCACTTTTGCAAGAAAATCAGGAAACGGAAATTAGAAAACCCAGTCTAGATATTGTGCGATCTGTGGACTTCAAGTCATTCATTTCCTCCCTTTCAGACACTAAAGATCTCTGACAACCAGTCCATGGTAGACCTGAGGATAGAGCAATGCATGTTTCCAAGCACATGAAGTAAGACTACATTATGTAAGGAATAAGAAGAAGGATGTTTGGCAACCAGTTGATTGACACTGCCTTGGCTGGATAAATGGTGTGAAATCACACACTCAAAGATGTGTCACGATCAAACTTTGCAGTTTCAATATAACTAAAATATTCTGAAACTTGCAAAGAGCGATAAGACTCTAGTAGGGCAAATTTAGCATTTACTGTGGTGAATAATGTTCAATATTCACAGTTATACTGCAAATGAACATTTGCTCTTTGGCTTTACAGGTGTGAAAAAGTGTTAATTAAATCATGGCTAGGGAATGATTGTGCAGGAAAGCGATTTAAGGAATTGAATATTAAAGGGATAATAACTCTTCGTTTTGGCCAAAAAATGAATTTTCCTGGAGTAAACAACAATTTTCCCATACTTACCAATGGTTAATGAATCCATTTTTACATTCAAAGTTAGTCCCTGGTTTTTTTCTAAAAAGTTTGGTTTTTTGTTAAAATCTCTTAAGAGATTTTAACAGAGTATAGCCATCAATGGAGGTCACGTGGTCTAAAGACGAGCTCAGATATCAGAAAAAATAGGTATAACTGCCGTTTTTGTGGTAAAACAGAATATATTATATATCTATGAGTTATTCACAATGATTTTATTGTGAAATATAGATCTCATACGAAGAGTTATTATCCCTTTAAATGTTAAAATGACAAAAAGCATGTTTTATATTTTGGGTAAAATAGCAAGTAGAAGTGTGGTTTTTCCCTTGCAGGAATTTAGAAATCTTGTTTAGTTTCATTGGAGTAACAGTTTTGAAGGGATCCCTTCTGGTCCACGTTTATAGCATATGAACCAGTGATTTTTTTCTTTTGCACCATGTATTAGTATCCCAAGTACCTTGGCAACATTAAACATTTTTTACATTTAAAATGTTTTAGGCAAGAACATAATTATAATGAATTTTACAGCAAAAGAAATTCTATTTTTTAACGCATATTTGGATGTTTAAGCGATTTCTCTTTTTAATGTATATTAATTGGGCTTTTTAAGCTTAAAATATACAATGCCAACTTTTAAATGGGTCATATTGTTTCTGTAGCTGTATTATTTTTCAAGTTTTCAGTGCAGAATTTTCACCTATGGTTCACATATTTACAGGGGTACAATGTAAAAAAAAAAAAAAAAAAAACTTGTACCAGCATATTGTTTTTGTTGGATTACATACTGTAGAAAGTTGTCATGCTTCCACTTCTCAGAAATAAGAACCCAATTTTTGTTTTTTCAGTCGTAATGACAGTTTTATTTACCGAGACATGATAAACATCAAATCTGTCCTTTTACTTAATACATGTTGGGGGATTTGTTAACATTGTGCTCTATATCCACCCACATTGATTGCGTTACTGAATGCAAGATTTGTAAGACGGACAGAATGGGTTTAACTTGAACATATAACCTATATACTTCAGACCCGGTCTGAATGAATAAATAATATCATAGACATTTAATAACTTACTTTATAAACATAACCACATCTTAAGCAAACTACACTTCAAATCTTTGAGATTCTGTGTACAAAACTCTGCAAGGTGCTTTTACTTTCATTTGTCTAAATAAACCATCAGAGCTTACAACTACATCGAAAAAACAACAACAACAATAACAACAAAAAGTGTTTTGGGCCCTCCAGAATTGTAAGAATAAGGGGAAATACATAACAAAATAAAATGAGATCAAATCAACAAAATGGAAAAAAAATCCCAGATGAGTGAAATATAGTTGGTCAGTAATATTTCTGCTCAACATTTTGAGACGTATAGCACTTGCTATGTATGCTGATCAGAGGCTGGGCACAGATGGGAAGATGTCCAATAATGAGTTCTGATCATTCACTATATTAAGCTATATGGCATATAAAACAACATAGTTACATTAACAAAAAAGTATCCAATTTACTTATATAATAGAAATGTCAGTAAATAGTATTTAAAGCAAAAGTTAGCACCTTCACAACACCAAAGAAAATAAAGCATGTAAACAAGTATATATCAATATGCAGTTCAACCAAATTTGGTTATCCTCAAAAATGAATTTTAAGACATGATAATAAATACAATATAAAACATTTGACTCATCTTACCCTCCATGGGTAGAAAAGATAGATGAGAATAGGCTTTATACAAATTAGAAATAGTAACAACTAGGGGTAAATATTACCACTCCTAATAATAGTAAAAGTGTGCAGATTCAAATTGCAAGCAACATCCTCTTTTCAAAACCTAAACCTATACATCCAAACACCAACTTGAATCCTAGTCTTTTCTTATATCAATAGCATGAAATGCCATACTGCATTACCTATTAATTGTAAACAGAATAAAATAAAAGACTAAAAATAAAAAGCAGTTTATCCTTACTTGTGGTACCATTAAAAAAAAAAAACATTAATTTCATTCATATAAAGATTGCAAACAGTAAAAATTTTTCAAAGTTGACTGCACAGTCACCAACTCGGTGATACACTTCATGAGTGTTAATGGCAACAACAGCAATTTGTCTGGTACCATTAAAAAAATTTGACTATCAACTTAGCACACAAGGGTCAGGGTCAAAAGCAGATGCAGCATTTCCAAAGTTTGAATAAGACATATTGACTAGACTGAAAAAATATATATTCCCCTCTTGTATTCCTCAAAAATAAAATCCAATACAACCTTAACTACTCATTCATTGCAGTAAAATCTACAAATTGTAGAAAATGCATACTGGATTTAGGTCCACTAAAGTATAGCATAAATATGGTCCCACTCTCTGGCAAGACTTCTACCCAATACAGACTAGGGAATGCTTCAAATATTTAATCACCATACATTTCAAGGCAACACTGATAAGCTTTCACCACTGTCATCCATATGCTTTCTAAAACAGCATAACATCAGATACAGATAATCAACTTTGTGCTCTGAAAGTCCAGAAAGTCATCAAAAATATCAGTGTCATTCAAACAATAATACTTTACTGAATGTATTGCAGCTCAAGTGGTAGCACCACCTCACTTGAAGGACTTGCTTTCACTCTGGGGTAAATGTGTGGACTTGGCTTGTACTTTTTGTTGCAATTTTCTAAGCAACTCTGTTGCTGAAGCATTGACTGAGAAGCCATGGTACTTGTAAGTCTCCATACTTCCACCATTCATAAGAGATGAAGACTGGAATGTGCTTGGAGCTGCCGAAAAAGACGACAAAACTTCTGATGCTCGCTTGGATGGACTGGAGTCGGAGTCACTATCTTTGCTATTTCCACTCCCTGTGGCAGCTGCCTGCCTCTTTGCCTCCTGTATTTTCTTCTGGCGAAGCAAGTGACGCTCTTTTACCTTGTATTCCAATGTGGAGTGAGGAACACCAAAGTAGCTTCCAGCACGATGTACACTCATCTCTCCACGCTGCACAGCACGTACAGCCTCCATTAGCAACTGGCTGTTATACTTGCGGTACTGACCACGCTTGGGACGCGTTTTCTTAAGAGGCATCAAGCTTCCACGGTGAGATGAGGAGTTTGTGGACAACCTGGGTTTCTTTGCTACTGGACCTTCAGACAGTTTTTCTTGAGTATTTTCATCGGTATCTGTCAAAGCACCTTGTGACTGCCTATATTGCACTAGTGGATCCATGTCTTGAGAGGACGAGGAGGATTCCAGGCGGGAACGAAGCTTCTCTGATATTGTCTTGGCTATGATATCTTTGAGTGTTTCTCCTATTTTGCTGCCAGCAGAAGTCAAGGCGGAATGTCCATAAGGCTCTTCACCATCTCCATTGGTGAACATGGGCTTGTAGGACGGAACTTTAAGTTCTACATTTGCAGAATTATTGGCTCCTGTTTCTGGCATGCTCAATACAGATGACAATTCTGGATTAGCTGAAGCAGAGCGCATTCTATCTTCTGCCATTTTGCGCACTAAATCAGGAAAGAATGGGAACTTGAGTTCATTAGCATAGGGATTTGTCAGCTTATTGGCCTGATCCCACTCTAGCACATGACGATTGAGGTTATGCTTTTGTCGCAGAAGTTCCAGTTTGCGTTGCCAAGTTTCCTCAGGATCTAGAGTGCATGTCTCTTCTTCTTCGTCTGTTGTGTGCCCAGACTTGGGAGGGCTGTGGAAATGGTCTGTTCTATGCGTACTTCCATGGTTCCCATTGTGTTCAAGTTTGAATATCTTATTCCTGAGTGTTGATCTAGGAATGCCATAAAGAGAAGCTGCACGACGTGTGCCCAGTTTGCCACTGCGTATGTCATCTACTGCAGCAGACAATTCTTCTTCTGTATATGTTCTCCGCCCAGTATCTTTCTTTCTGCTTAAAAGAAAAAATTTCAATTATTAAACAAAAGGCCCACACAAGCACTTACCTTGAAATGCATTATACACAAAGTCCCACCATATTTACCGGATATCTGTTGCCCAATTACTTAATTGTGAAAATGAAAGTTTAAACTTATGATAATTATTAGTACATAAAACAGATGAATTTCCATCAGAATACTAAATTTTACTTTTTCTTCTGGCTAATCATGAAATATTAAAAAAGATTCACCCTATAGTTCAGTGTAAATAATATATATCTCTCACCTCGTGTTAACCTTGATCTGGGGCACCTTGAGTTCCACAGGAGGTTTGGTTACTGCAGCACTTTCTTCTGTGTATTTGCCTGGTGATTTAGCAGCCTGGGATGTAGCACTCAAATCTAATGGTTGATTGTCTTCTTGCTCTATATTTGGGAAAAACAGAGGAGCACATGCTGATGGAAGTAGTTCTCGTAGATAACGGATACCTGCAAAGGGGAAATCGGCCCAATTTAGCCACAGGTTGCATAATCTCCAAGCAAGACACTTATTTTTGTACTCAGTGGTGATAGAAAATCAAACCATGATTGCTGATAACACTTTCCAAACAAGGGTCTTTTTTAGTTTTTGAGAGTCTCATAATCTCTGGCATAAATGGCCACCCACATTGACAGGTACTGTGGACTTAGCTTTAGATCATATAACACAGTATTCATCATGTGCATTTAGCTTCCTTATTGTGAAAAATAAATAAAGTATTAAAATTATTAACTCAAAACCACAAGTGTTTCATTTTCAATCATGAATCAAAAGAAATGTGAAACTACATTTTTAGGAAATGGTTCATCACATACCAATGTCTTCACGTGTTCTGTTACAACTTTCATCCTCGGTTGAGCTTCCATTTTCTACAGTTTCCTATAATGAAAGATAATTTAAATATGACACCAAAATATATATTCTCCCACAACAGACATTCAAAATAAATAAATAAATAAATAAATAAATAAATAAATAAATAAATAATGACCTAGAAAAATAAAAGACAATAAGGGAAACACTTCACTTATTTTCCATATCATGTTTAGAGACATTATATATATATAATATAATAACATATAACAACAATCTAGGCCTGTAATACCTAGATTTTAGCAGGCCCTGGTGTCTGCAACATCTGCAGATTTTTTGCCATGTCTGAATTTCAGAACAATGCAAGTATCAGCTAACCCAATCTGTTCAATTCTGTCATAACCACCAATCACCAGCCTTACATTTCAAAAATATCCTACAGAAAGCCATACTAGACACTCTGCTTTTGTCTCAAGACTGACCTGCTGATAACCCACTGAAGATTACTAGAAGGGAACAGGGCCAGACTAATTACAAAACTGACAGGCACGTTACATGTACTAGACAGTCATCAAAGTTCACCAGTCGTTCATCTTATGGAACAGTTCACTGCTAATGGATAGGTTTGCTTTAAGTGCTTTTTTCCACATTCATAACAACCCACACACCTAATTGATTTTATTGTTTTTTTTTTTTTTCACTTTTGTTTTTTATTCCATTATCCATTCCTTGGATTTTAGGTGATCATGAAAGATAAGTAAATAAACAGGCAAAAATGATTCAAAGACCCTCCTCTTAAACTAAGATCCCAACTTCTTCTCTAAAGGCCATTGTAACAAGTTCTTGAACATGCATTTAATACCTATCTCCAATACTGATAATTATCAAATGCTGTCATAGCAAGGGCATGCACTAATCATGGCACCTGATATACAAAAGGTCACCTCTGCATAGGGGTGTGCATTATTTAATGGAAGAGCCACTATTTTAGCAGCATATTAATGACAGGTGATTAGATCCTACCAGCTCCATTTAAACAGTATGAAGCACATTGTTAGACCTAACACTTTCCTTTTTGACTCTTTCATTTTTGTTCCAACTAAAACTTTTATTGATATTAAGACTTGGGATAGTTTTCTTTTTAAAAATGTAATGATTCACTTCATCATTTATCAGTTTCACAAAAAGTGTTGAGAACTATTATGTTGAAAATATATATATCTTTGTGCAACATTTAAAATTAATTATGGTATGGATATTCTTTATACTTTGCATACAATTTTAGAGTGTTGATTTCTAGTAGGCCTCTTATTTGCAAACCAGCCTTAACCAAGCTTTGTAAAATGTAATAGAAACTGAGCTTAAAATGACCTTTTCATAATTGTTATTTATAGAAATCAAATTAAAAATCATAATCCAATATTTTCAGTGAAATGTATTAACCAGAAATACCTTCATTGTTTAACCAGAGCTTAATCCGATCTCTTAATCCACTCTCTTGCTTGATTAAAAACATTGTTCATTTACAAGCTAATTAAGGAAGTACAAATCTGTTCATATTACCTGTGGGCACAAATTTTAGTTAACATATATGCATAGTTTTTGAGTGTCTGGTAAGGCCAGTCAAAGCTAATGTAACAAAAAATGATTTAGTCTCACTGGTGTTACCCCCATGCAACAGCCTGGTAATACGAGTCAGACTTTTAACTGATTCAGGAAAGGTTTTTTATACACCAATGATGTACTAGTAATCTGCTTTACTGGACTCTTCATAAAATTATCATCATCAAAACAACAGCTAAATAAAAAAATAACAATTGAAATAGTGATTGAAAAAGTGCATTATATTCCATTTGTTTTAATGATGCAAAAGTTTTTTTACACTACTCTATCAAATGGAAAAAAATGTAACACCAATGTTCCCTAGACGTAATGATTGAAAATCTTATTCCTTACAGATAAATCCAACAAATTCTGCTGACCAAACCATAAGATCTGCAGGCAGTTTGAGAAACTCTACAAATACAGCCATGTATGCATTGTTACTAAATCTGCAACCTTAAAACTGGCATTCTCTTGACTGTAAGCATCATCTATAATAAAACAAACTTTCAAAGTCCAGAATTTGCTTGAACACAGATGGAAACAGTATTTTTATTACTTATATAAATGATATAAAGGTAGTAAAAATGTACAGTATTCAAATCTTATTTGCATCTTTTCGTTACTTACAATCATGAATTTTAGCCTTGAAAAGCAGAAATGGCAGGTTGTCTCTGGTTCCCAATCTTTGACGGTGTCTGGCTCTAAATCTAAAAAGTGGATAAAAAGCATATAACTAATACCAGCAATAAGATATTCTTGAGAAAAAGAAATAGTATTGTAGAAAGTCCACACCAAGGAGTCAGACCAACTTGAACCAAACTAGTCTTACCAACAGCATCATTCAAGCAGTTAATTGTCAAATCTGGTAATGTGATAATGTTGGTTATGTGTATGTAGTTTAAGAAAAAAAAAAGGTTATATGGTAATGTTGGTTATGTGTAGTTTTAACAAAAAAACTAACCACCTTCATTCTAAAGGCAAACTTGCAAACAAACCCACCATAATGTATGAATATGTACATCGTAAATAATTATTTTATTTTAAAGAGTTATACAAATACACTTTGTATATTTTCCCTTCCCTATTTAAGGGAACTAAAAAGCATTTTAGCAAATTTTCAAATGAAATTATGATGTCACCGCAAGTTAGAGAGCAGTTGGTTAATGCATCACCACTCAAAATTTGTTCGGGGTATGATACTGCGAAATGCATACTGATGCACACCTTGAAGACAGTTAGTGTGGTCCGATATACCGGTGAATTCGGGATCATTCCGTGTCGGGTCTGGTAGTTGGGTAGGCCTGATTTATAGATACCCTGTGAGGGTCTTTGACTGATGTCACAGTTATAACTATTATTCTGGTTTTTGTTTTAAAATATTATTTTTCTGATAAAACCAGGTAAGAAATTAGAAATGAAGGATCTCAAAACAAATGAAGAAAGAAAGAAAAAACAAATAGAAAAGTCTTTAAATTTTATCAGTATAACTGCAATGTATACTGTGTTATTAAAATTCATTCTTCTACTTTGTGACCCAAATTAATTCTATACAATAATATTTTAGGTGAAAATCATGACAAATAGAAACTGTCACAACAGATTTCTAATTATCTTAAATTGACAGGAAACTGGACATTTTCCAAAGAGCTTCTGAGACTAAAAAATCAATTGTACAGAAATACGAATTGATCTCTATAAAGAACTCCTGCTGCTTTTACTTAGTCATTGCTGCAAAATAAAACAACTGTATAGCTATCTGTACTGAATAAAAATTGATAAAATATAAATACTGAATTTTGATAAACTTATCTAAAGGATTAAGCGAACTACTGGACCTACTTTGTGGAAGTAACATATGGGAAGGAATATATGCTTACTGTTAAATGGCTCAAGTAGCTTGTCCATAACATCCTTACTTGCAAATTCTTTTGCTATTGTTTCCAAACCTGCAAAGGAAATGTGACAAGTATACAGCCATTGGCCAATCTCATAAGTGTGTGTGTGTGTGTGTGTGTGTGTGTGCGCGCGTGTGTGTACAAAACACAAAAAGAAAAAATTTAAGAGCACAAAAAAAATCTACCTTATGTCTTTCAAAACATCTGTAAATACAGTCTACAGAGAACTTTTAAAAACAATCTGGGCTACTTACAATGATTATGGAAATAGATTTCCCAATATTACAATGCTAATTTGAAATCTGATGAAATAAGCTTAGATGTACAGATAATGGATATATCATTATCATGGTTCTGACCTCATCAATTCACAGAAAACTAATTACTGTGGATGTTTTTTTACACAGTAACTGCAATAACTTTGATAATCATCAATATTTCGTGGTATGACTAAGCGACTGTCAACTTGCTTCCTCAGAAAAGACCTGGACTTTCTTAATTAACTGGAATAGTAATTCTAATCAAGGAATGCGCGGTTGCCTGAACATCACACTGACACTTGAAATGTTTGCAGGACATCAATTTTAGCTTATGAGTTGAGGTTTGAAGAACACTCACAATGTTCAATTTTGAATCACTGCCAGCATGTCCAGCAGCATGACCTTGGGTTTTTATGTCCATTAAGGGTCAAGTCTAGGGTTTCACTTTAGTGCTAATTCATTGAAAATATACTGATTTTTTATATTTTTGAAAAATACATGGCTCAGTTAACAGTGACAGACAATAATATGGCTGCCTGATATTACAGACGTCACACATGTTAACCTATGTCAATAGAAAGTGCTCTAATTGTAAGAACAATGCTTTGTCAAAATAAGGCTATTATTAATCCAAATTTAATAATTTATTTTTCAAATGTAAGGTACCAATACATAACAATGATCTGAAAATAACATGGATAAGTTATATGACTGGCTATATTTCACTTGCAAATTAATCACGAAACGTAAAACAAAGATGAGAACCACAATTGATCAGTGGGGGTGGAAGCGCTGAAGTGAATAGCGCACCTGTGGTCCAAATTTTGACAACAAAGCCGGTTCGATTTTGGAGGTCGATTTGTAGCAGAAAAAACATATTTAATCGTGAAACACTTAACTCATTGGAAAGAGCAGTTACTCACCTACTGCTAATGGGATTTTTTTGGTCCATGATAGTAAATCTTTCTTAAAAGCCCGCCTTTCTTGTGCGCAGCGTATGTTGCCGCAGTCCACCATGATCAATACACATGAGTCTTACGTCACTAGATTTTGTTTAGCGATGACGTAGTTCACGCTGAGGATAAGGAAGCAGCCGAGTTTAGGTAAACCTGTTATCGTCCTTAAGGTATTCCTTAAGGTATATCACTCTAAGGTATTTCACGACAACTTAGTGATAATATTAGGTGAAAGACAGCCCATAAAGTGAGTAAATCTGTAGTTTTGACTGTTACTTTTTATTTTTGTGATATGTTCGCTAATACAGGGGTCCACCTAAAGCATTTAAGCTACTATAAAATAAGAAAAAGACTTGGTTAACATATTGCATTTGGACCAGTCATGCATTTATTGAATCGTCCATGTATTGAAACAGTACTGTGAATGTGTCAGTAGTAGGTGATTTTATGAGTCATTTTTAAACGTACAGTCTATAAATATACAGCTTACTCAATTTGCTAATAATAATATTAGACTTAACTGTAAGTTATCAGCATCACTGCTCTTGTGTTTACACAGTCATTGGGTGTGTCTTAGTTTAGACTTAAAAATCGCACAATTTAAGTCCGTTTAGATTAACACATCCTACTGATTTTAAAGTTGCCAAGCTTTTTAGTTGACTCAATATTGATGCTTACCTAATTTCAGATACTGATCTTAGTTTGGTCCGTGGAGAAGAGCTAAATTTTATATTTAAAACCTGTTGAAGTTATATTGGGCACACGGCTTAAAATTATAATGCATGGAACATATAAGTATCCAGATGGAAGTGAATATACTGGACAGTGGAATGACCAAGGGCAGAGACATGGCAGTGGCCAGTTAATGCTCTCTGATGGCTCTAAATATCATGGGAAATTTGAAAATGGACTGTTCCATGGATATGGAGTAATGATCATGCAGGATGGATCACGGTATGTATGTCTTCTTAAGACTTCTGCTAACTGTATTTGGCCATCTTTAATTTTCTAAAACATTTTTTTCTGTACATTTGGTGTTTTGGAGTATTTTCAGTCAGTCATATATTACTGTAACAACTACTAGGATATTCATTATTTAATTAACTTTATATTTAGTGAACAGGTGTGTATGATATGTGCCTTGTTTGCACAAGAAGTTGCTTTACTTTGTCTTGATGCAATCAATCTCACACACAAGCATTTCATTGTCTGTATAAAAAGGAATGGGTATGTATAACTCAATGTAGCTGTGTTTTGTGTTAAGGTTTGTTAAGATACACTTCTTTTCAAATAAAAATCTATTAAAATTTTAATGTAGTATACTAGTATTTATTTCGTATCTTAAATTTGTATTTATCAGGTATGAAGGTGAATTTTCACAAGGTAAATTTTCTGGATTTGGAGTATTTACAAGATGTGATGGAATGAAGTTTCAAGGCGAATTCAGAGAGGGAAAAGTCAGTGGTCAAGGTAAAGTTTTTATCAAGGGTTACAGGAATACACCCTCCCTTTAAAATAGGGACAGCAGACTTAGTATAAGAAAAACAAAACATATTGATTAGTTATCTAAAACCATTTAATTCACAAACAAATTTCTTATAAGTAGTAAGATGCAGTAGTTAGACAAATGTAAAACAAGTGTAACTGTGTTTGTTTAATAAAAAATTAATGTTATTTTACAGGTCTCTTGACTTTTGCTGATGGAACTCATGGTTTACCAAGAAATGAGGGCAGATTTGAAGGAAATAAACTTATAAAGAGTTGTAAATGTCCAAATGCAATACAAAAAGCAACTCAAGCAGCAGACAGAGCTAGAACACAGCAAGTTTGAAACAGAACATTTATGTCCCTTATTGTTTCTTTGAGATGATATCCAACATAGACTGTCAAAGAAAACGAACAACTTAAGTCGGCCAACATTTAACATTCCAGTGTAAATAAATCATTATAAAAAAAAAGTCATTAATGTATTGAAATAATTGCAATTTACACATGCACTTTGGAATGCTAAGGTTTTACTGACATAATATTCTACCATTAATATTTAAGAGGTCATTTATATACATATTACTTGTAACCACATTTCATCTTGTATTTTACTGCTGCACATGTTCATACCATATCCCTATTAATAAAACTGACTGATTACTTACAAGGCAGTAAACTTTTACCAGATCGAATTTATGCAGAAGAATAGTGCTTTATTGAAAGCACATAATTAATTCTTGTTAATCGTTTTTATAATAAACATTTTTTTACCTTATGTCAGTTGTTTTAACACACATTTTATCAGTCTATTTTTAGTACATATGAAAACAAGGTCTCCAATTTGGGTGTTTGAGCAGCAATGCTGAACCCATCACAGCACGTCGGATTTAAAGAAAATAAAAATGAACTAGTCTTGAGCAATATGAAAATAGCATTTATTTCTGGGATAACTTCATAAAAAAGATAACTGTCATGATTAATGCAAGTTTACACTTAAACCCTAGTACACACAAAAGACTAGCAAATGGAAAGGGTGTAAAAGAATTGATATTAATTCCATTTTGCTCAAAATATAGAGAAGTATCCATCAGTATTTTTCTTTCATCACATCATGGTTCACAATATGTCATTAAAAATCCAATAAACAAGACAAGTTTTGTCCTTAAAGATGATTAATCCATAACTATAAAGACCTATGATTAACAAACAGCATAAGATAACATGACAACTGCTAGAGAATAACAATAAAAATAGCAACTCTCCAACTTTGGATGGCAAAGATGTAAATGATAACAAATAATGTAAATTTCTTGAACTATGTAAATCTTTCAAAATCTAGATGCTATGTACAAAGATCTTTACAAACACATACTAAACCAGTGTATACCGAACTGCAAAATTTGACTGAAGGCAGGACAGCACAGGGCTTCAAAGCTTTAAATATGTTTGTAACAAATTGTTACAAGCACTTGCTAATGCTTGGCTAAAAACCTGATGCAAAGAAAAAAAGAAAAGACAGCAGAACAATATTCAGAGGTAGCCATTGATGACAGTTATAACCAACTCATTAAAGGTGCCCAGCATAAGATTTTGCCTTAAAAGAAACCTCTGTTGAACTGAGTTCCAACCACCCTTTCCTGATATTTGTCATAACTCTGTAACAATCTTGGAAATGAATATAAAAACCCTTCACACACGCTTAAGCACGGGGTTTTCAAATTCTCACATCATTTCAAACACTGACTTCAAGGTTGGATGCAATTTAAAATTGTTGAAATGTGTTGACAGGTGAGGAGGTTTGTCAGGAAGTGACAAATAAGATTACTTTGGGTGACATTAATTTAAGGCATTTATCTGTTAAAAATTATTTAAAAGTATTGATGTCCTCAGATAAGTTCAACAGTTGAACTTTAAGATCCCATTTCCATAGTTTTTGGTTGATCTATCCCTGTGGGGAGTCTCACTAGATTGCTGTCAGCTTAGCCAGCTTAAGCGTCTGTCCCGCCTACTGAAAGCTGTAAGGGGAGAATTAACTATGGTGCGCGCTCAGCTGACTGCAATTTAGCGTGAATCCTCAGGGAGTTAGGTCGATCTAAATCTTAATTTCTGGATCGATCTAAATCTCTGGAAATACACCCTAAGATAATAATCTTTATATCTTTATATCTTATGCTTTGTCCCTTTAAGTAAGATGTTGATATAAATTGTCACCATACTTCATACTTGGTATCACAAATTTGTTATATGAAAATACTTCTTTTGAATGATTTTATAATTCTGTATAACAAACTAACTGACAGTAAACACCCCATGATAACAGGACAAGTGTTCACTTAACAATGCTTCAGAATGAGCAGGTTAAACTTTATAACAGTTTTCACAGTGAAAAATACAAATAATTATATACAAAGAAGGATGAATATAAGTTTGCTTTAATAAGTTGTTTTCCATAAATATTCCAAAATTTTATAATATTTTCAAGTTAATTGGTGGCATGATTTTTAAAACAATCACAAAAATAAGATAAAAAAGTAGGCTGTAAATAATGAAGAAAAATAGGAAGTGCTCAGTTTCCAGTATGTGTTTATCATGCAAGAATATAACACTTTGGATTGGAAATGAATAAATCATATTTTAAAAGGCTGTAAGTAATTTAATTCTTCAGACAAATACCCACTGATTTGCTGAAAAAAAACTAATATGGCTGAAATGATTGCACTTATTGGCAAAATCAAACTAACTGTAGTTTTTGCACACACTGTTTTATCCATGCGTCTTGAATGATGTTTCAAACATGGAACCTAGGTAGCAATATTTTAATGAACACAATTACAGCAATATGCAACAATCATGATTGTTTATCATCACTGTCTACCATTATTCTCAAAGTAGCAATACTTCTCTTCCGTTTCCTAGTGTAAGTTGGTGATGGAGGTGTGCTGTTAGTTTGAGGGAGAGTCAGTGGGGATTTACATGGTTTAACTTTGACAGGGGGTGGACTAGGTCCAGGCCTGCTTGATATCAAAGTGTTGACCACACTGGCCACTGCTTTCCCAATTTCTTCAGGGCTGGAGGAATTGTTGCTCAGAACTGACCAGTCAGCTAATGACACACTCTGTGGGACCTGAAATAACACCCAACTTTTTACCTTTTGTTTGTTAATAAATGTTCATATGCAAAATTCAGGTCTAACTTGAATCCATTAAGGCTGTATTCCCAGAGCTTTTAGATCAATCTATCCCCACGGGGAGTCTCACTAGATTACTGTCAGATAATCTGGCTTAAATGTCCGTCCCGCCTACTACAAGCTGTAAGGGGGTAATTAACTTTCGTGTCCGCTCGGCTGACAGCTATTTAGCGTGAGCCCCCAGGGAGTTAGGTCGATCTAAAGTAGATCGATCTAATCTCTGGAAATGGGGTCTAAGATATCATTTCCAATTGTAACCTTTAAAATATATTATATGCATGCAATTGGAACTGTAACAAAAGGCCATGACCAAAAACTGAATTATCATGAAATACTAAAATACATATTTCTTATAAGTAGTAAGATGCAGTAGTTAGACAAATGTAAAACAAGTGTAACTGTGTTTGTTTAATGAAAAATTAATGTTATTTATTTCACAGTATTTTATTTATTTATTTTAATACCAAACAAATTGGTTAAGCCCCCTTTACCTTTACACAGGACGGTGTCATTTCTGCGTCCTTTGTGCGGCCATGAAACTGGCATCGCTGTGGTCATAGTAAGGAGGCACAAGCAACGCTTTGGTTGCATTGCAGAATGAATGCTCAATGACTTGCCAGTTGTCGGCAAGTAAAGTATTATTATTTTTTAAATCTCAAACGGGGCCGTACTACAGGACGCAGAGAGTATGCCGTCCAGTGTAAAGGGGGCTTTACCAAGAATCCAGGGATAAATCAAGTCTTTACTCATCATTCAACCCCTGTGTAGCCTTTTTCTACCTTAAATATTTTCTGTGGCACATTGAATTTTCCTCCTGCTGCACCTCCAGTAACCTTAACTGGTACAACTATGTGATCATTCCATGCAAACTCTTCTGCCTCATGGGCTGCACCAGGGCCACCTATAGGTAAAGGGAGAACTTATAATATATACTTCTAAAATGATGCAAACAATAAATCAAGTTTTTGAAAGACATATAAAGCTAATACTATGGATAAATGCTTAACCTTATCTAAAAATTTTAAAAGAAAAAAAAGCAGGCATCAAAATGCATCTTTACATGTAATTAATACATACCTTCTATCAAAATACAAATATCAATTGCTCTTGCCACAATGATTTCCCTATCTCTTATACTATTCCCAACAAACACACTCTTTCCAAACGGGGGAGGCTGAAATGTTTTGTCTGCTCTCTGCCTTCCTCTGGTGCTGTGGTCCTGAAATGTGGAGGTTTACACATATTTCTAGACAGTACGGTTTAAAGCAATGCAAATATATTTTCTAATAACTCATTTCTATATTATTTCTGTAGTTTTTCACACCCTATATCTGAAAAACATGATACCATTTCTTCACCCCTTTTCATATCCATAGAGTAGAACACCTTATAAATCTTTAAAATGATTGTAATCAAAGTCAGTGTTAGAAGAATATTCCAACAACGTCAGTTACATGAAAAAGAGACAAGGGTCAGAGGTTGTCTGTGCCATGACAAATGGTTGAGCAGACAATGCCATTGATCACACATGTACAGTTAAATGCAAATTCATTCAAGATAATACCAATCTAAATCACAGTGAAGTCATACAGGAAAAAGAACACACTTACATCTTTATCCTGAAAAGGAAGAACATGTACTACTCCTGATTTCCCATTGAGAGCTTTACGTTCATCTTCAAAGCTTTGTGCAACAGTTTCACCAATCCCAAAGAATCCCCCAGTTACAACTGTTACATCTGGGTTGCGAGCAAGGTGTTTTCCAACTGACCTAAATCAGTTTTAAAAACCCAGCTTCAGTCAAAGTGTATAATGGTCATGAAGCTAAACAGCAAAGCTAGCAAATATATAGACACCAAATTTTATGTAAAACAATAATATAGTTTGGCAGTTTTAGAGACTGATGGCATTACAAACAGTGACAGTGCAGACAGAAACCATGATCAGAATACATACTGACACATTTTGTGAATGTATTTAAAAGAAATGAGAATTTTTGGAAACCTGCCAAATGCATACAGAAATTTATTACTGCATATCTTAAAATGTTTATTTCATTTCAGAATTAAATATTGGTTATATTCATCACATCTCTTGGCACCAACTTGACATATTTTAAATCAATTAGAACTTACTTGCATATGGCCTCTGAATCCTTATGGTAAAAGTGTGTTCCTCCTGCTATATAGACACTTCCATGCTTTGGTAAACTTTCTGTAAGTGAACTAACCTAAAAATAGAGACAAACTGCTCAATGGATAAAAATGCAAAATTGTGCCCACAAAAAGGCACTTATGTACATTAGATGCAGATATACCTTGTCAGCAACAGTTTAAATGAATTAAAGATTCAAATAAAAATTTAAGTCATTTTAAAACTAAGGCAGATATTTTTATTATAAAATCTTTTATTATACATATATTTTTCAACAAAAATATTAATATACTCACTTCTTTTGACAACTGTTTGTCATGCATTTCTGTTGGAGATGGGTTGCCTGACTTTGGAAACAAGCAGCTGTTCACTTGGGAGATGACAGACTTCTCAAAACACTCTCTCTGTGAATCCTGTCAAATTAAAGAATTCAACTTGTTGTTACTGCATCTACACATGTAAGTATTTGTTTCTATTTATAAACTAGAATGTGCCACAGGCAATAACAAAGTTTTAATGATCAGATGTCATACATCCTGTGCATACTACAAGTGTTTAATATATTTCAAATGATTGTTTTTTTAATTGCCATCATATCAAACACCAAGAACATATTCTGTTTTCAAAATGAAAGTTTTTTTTTTTTTTTGGACATGGAATAACATTAGAGCCCTTTTGTTTTTAAGCTAAACTAACCCCAAACTAAATAAAAAACAAAAGCAAATGCATTTTAACATTAAAGAAGCTTCAAAACAAAGTAAATTTAGCAGCTGTTAAAATAAATAGCAAGAAAACAAGGACAGCATAGCACTGAAAATAACATCAGCTCCTAGAGACAAAATTGCCATTACAAAAAGTATGGGTGTAATCTCAAACCAATCCTTCATACAATACTGAAAAGCAATGAAACTTTATAAAGATGGTTTAAAATAGATTGTCCAATTTACATTTGTAGTCAACCATTCTAGATAAAGATAATCTTTGCACTGACTTAATTTCACATAAAGAATCAACTAAATATGAAATAAAAATGAAAATGATAAGGTTGCTTTAAAAAACTTGTACTTGCATGTTTAGGTAGTGACATATTTGCCTGGAAAATGAAATGAAACACAACCAGTCATTATTTAAGAATGCCCTCCTACTTGGGCTATCAGTTGGAACTGTTCAGTACCCCTAGCATGCTCCATTCCAAATAAAAACTTGTCTTGAAGTTTTCAAATACACAATAGAAACTGATGTATTTTAAAAGGCATATATTGCTCTTTGGGCCTTTACCACATGCAAGCAGTGATGCACAGCCAAATGGCTGAGGCATAATCATTTGTGCAATAAAACAGCTCAAGAATACCTAGAAATTAGCACTAGAAATTCAATACTTCCTTATGCATGCCCATAAAAAAACAAGTAATGGTTATGATGGCAGAGGCATAATAGCCCTTTTCACAGCTTAAGGCAATAATGCACTTTACCTTTACAAATGGATATTGCAGAAACTGAAAGATTGGGGTGACAAGACACGTAAGTGAATGTCAACATCTATATAGAATATAAAAAGTAATTTTGTCAATTTTTTTACAGTTTTTCGTAAGACAAATTAGCAGTAAAACAAATGTTAGAAAAAGTGCATCTTTCTTGAAAACTATTGCACATTTTCTACATCTTATGATAATAAAGTGAAGACAAACATTATGTAAATATAATTTACTTATGCATTATGTGCTCAGAATACATACCAGAAAAGTACTTGTTCCAATGAGCATGCTCATCCAGTACGGCATGGCAAAATCTTCATACTTCAATGGAATGAATCTCTTGCGATGCTCACAATAGTACACCTACATCAAAAACATAGATGGTTATTCTTAGAACAAAATGGGTTATCAAACAATTTATAGTGCATCAAGCATGTTCAGTATGTTCAATATATTGATTGTTTGGTTATGATCCAAGATAAGTAATATTACAATTAAAGGTAAGATTCAGATAAAACAATGCTTAAATAATTTTCCCAAATTCGTGTTATCATCACCTGTTGCTGGCACATCTTAGACTGTGAGAAGGCCTTTGACAATACGAAAATGACAACTCCTGCTTCATCAGCTTTGCCTTGAAATTGTATTCTTTTTTCCATGCTTTTTGGAGTATAAGAGCTATTAAATTGAGAGACAGACTCAGACAGCTCACCTGAAAAAATCGAAGGCTCAAATCAATATTTAATAAAAACTCTATACAACAAAATTACTGCCATTACAAATACACATTCTATAAGATTATAAATTCTTCACATGCTTGCTGCAGGACATGAAAATAACAGAGTAAATGGAATTCATCTTTCTTTATGTTATAAAAGTATCAGATCTTAATTTAAATCAAATTTACAAGAACTACCGATGTTTAAATTTTTTTTCTGCAACATGGAACTGCTGTCTATTCCAGCAATCAGACATCAAATGATACCTTCTACATTGCAAATGTCTGCTCCATCTGTACTGAGAGAAGAAATGGTTCCAACTTCAGTAAGACTTGTGCAGCCTACTTCCTTCAACACTTCAAAAGAGCACCAAGCTTCATAGCCTTCACTTAAAAGTAGACCTTTTAAATAGTTTCCCTAAACAAAAATATATACAAATCTATGTCATTAAGGATAAGCAACATCAATCATTAAGCCTAAAACATGACAGATGTATTCTAAACTTCATGTGCCACTGTGTCAAATATACATCCAAGAGGAGAGAATTATGTGTGCTGATAGAAAAAAAGTATTCCCAACTTTCTGCTTGTAGTGATAATGAGACATTCATTGCTATGCTAATAACTTATAGCATACAGGTCTTACTGAGTGCGAGTGATTATGTAGAAAAATGTTTTCAAATTTGCTGTGATGTTTTGTTGGTGAATAACTTGTACAAGTTAATTCTTATATTATATCATCATATAAGTTTAAAAAATGGGTAGTACACTTATAACATAGACCGAAAATTTTGTTAGGGAGAGTTCCATAACTGAATTTGTCTATTCAATAATAAAATCCTAAAAGAATACTTTACAGCTGCTCAGAATCAAAAATATATAGACAAAGAAAAAAGCCTAGAAAATCAAACACAACTTACAAATGTTATCTGTTCTGGGTGTACACAAATTACAACGAGTGGTTTGCCTTCACGAGGAGCATTCACCAGGCTCAAGTCAAGATTCAAGTTTGGAAGCTTGGATGGGTAGCTCTTCAGACTTGTAGGAGTTGCCTAAAATTAAGAAATTAATCTTACAAAATTAGGATTCACACAACTTTAATCTAAAGAGTTATGCATTATTTTGAAATTCTCTTGAAACATTTCTTTTCTAAAAACCATAATTAAAGACTGTAGCACCTCATTACACTCCCTTATAATTATAAATTCATTAAACTTTCAAGTTTTAAATTTTTCTTTACTTTTCAAAGCCATACCTTCTTAATTCCAGGTCCATCTACTGCATCTCCTTGCTTGTTCATATAGTTTTCTATCAACTCTCCAATGTCAGAGGCAGCCTTTTTGACATAGTCCTCATCCCATATGTTGATGTTATACACATTCTCTGGTAGTTCTCCACTCCTTAATTCTAAAAATAGCTTTAGCTTTTAACAAACAGGGAATACTGGATCTTGCTTTAAATAAATAAAATGTTAACATAATAAGACTACTAATTTTTGATACTTTAATATTTTGTCTTACTTAATCATCGCCTTTTTTAACCCAGCAGAGTAACATAATGTAATGGAACTCTAAATGTTAAGCATTATTTTGAAACTTATTACCATAATGAGTCTTAAACATCAATTCAAAGTTTAGTTACAGGAATGCTATTTTAGGAACTTATCAGAAGAGCATTGATTATCATCTACTAGTACTCAAGGAATATGTTTCATGAACATACCCTTTTCTATAATATCCTTTGGTTTCCAAGAAATGAACTGTGTAGAGGCAAACTGTATGGCAAGGCACTTGGGAGGCCACATATCCAGAAAAGACACAGGTATTATCAGTTTACCCAAAACATCTGCTAGCTTCACCTTAAATAATGTAGAGACAGAAAAGATAAGCTGAAACTGATGAAATCAAAGTACTTCATCAACACATTAACTCATGCATATGCTTAATATGAAACATTTACTGTGCAAAGAACTTCTCTTGTACATAATTTAAATATAACTACATACTGTCAACATTTATGCTATATAGGATTGACCATTACACAAATCTTGCAACAAGAACTAATTTTCAATATGTTTGGGTAAATATATGGTATAAAAAAACAATATGCTTAATCACATGAAACACAATGTTTTAAACATTCAAACTTCATTAAATGTTTTCAAAAGAATGAGGTCACAAACTTTTTTTTTGTGATGAATCATGTACATAACAAAAATTCATTTTTTTCTGAAAAACATAATTGGATTAATTATTTTGAATGAACTAATACAGTGATTTTGACATTGGACATCAAAGAAAAAGCAATGCAAATGCTAAATCAATTTTATTGATTATTCTGTGTCATTTAATTGGCCAAAAGCCTTTAAAGATATTCTTACCTCTCTGTTAGTCCACTGGGTCTCCCCATACCTAGGTGTAATAAGTGGGATAAAGACCTCACAATTACTGACAGCATCATTTAGGGAGTCCTGCCAATCCACTCCAAACTTTATTTCATGAACATCCTGAAAACGAGAAATAGAGCAAGAAACAATAATAATAATAATAATAATAATAATAATAATAATAATAATAATAATAATATGAACTGGAGGTTTAAATAAGGTTTTAATAAGGAACTGCAAGGAAATTTTAAATGGCAGGAAATTTATTTCCTGACATTCAAATAACATCAACTATAAAATGAATGTGAAATGAAATTTAGTGGGCACATACAATAATCAATTTGCTTTTCTCTGCATCTTAGATTTCAGTTTTTACCATTTATTTTTGTGAGCTTCCGTTTTTGTAAATACAAACTATACTAATCAATATTTTGGCAAACTCGGTCTCATATAATGCCAAAACCAAAGAAAAAAGTTTAACTTCAGGAAAAAATAGCATTTAATAAATGAAATGATGGTTTAATTAGACATGTATATGATATCAAGCTTGGTGTGTTCTCAAAATCTTACCAAAAATACACTATAGTCAAACTTTGTAAGTTCAGCCTTCAGCTGTAGTGCATGCTGTGCAGCCTCAGCACGCACATAACTTATTAGGACTTGTTTGGATGCTACAGATGCATTTCCATCCATGTGGTCGATATCACAGACGCGACGAGCTTCATCTTTGCTGTTCTGATAGGTCAACTGGTTTGTCATCTTTTGTCTAAAAACAGTGTGAAAATATGAAATGTGAAAACATTATTATTTCCAATGAAAATGAATGAATAAATGAAAAATAGAGAAATCTAACTGTTATATCATTTTAGAAAAAAAATTAGCAAAACATTGATGAAATTATTAAAAATGATCAAAAAAGCACCCATCCTGACCTCAAAACTCTTTTGAAAAAGGTGAGTATGTACGCTTTCAGAATAAGCAGTAATAAAGTGTTGCCTGATATAAAATTAATCCAGAATATTGCCCTGAGGTTCCTGGAACAAGATGACCTGCGAACTATTCAATTGCTTGAAGCAGAATTATCATGGTATTTTAAGCATTTAATGTGATACTCAATCATTTGTAAAAACCGATTCATGATCTCAATGTTTCCGCTCCAGCTTCAAAGTGATTTATCATAACCCATTCTGTTAGCACTAGCTCACAGTTTGCCTTAGGTTCTGAGGCTATTATAGGATTCAAAAATTTTCACCCAATATAATGTAAAAATAACAGGTGCTACTAGTTACTTTATTATGTAAATACTATGAAGTTTCAATTTACAGTACAGTTTACAAGTCTAACTTGGGGCGTATGCACTGAGAATGCTGCATTTGGATTTGGGTGCTTGTGCTATACTAGTATATACTGATTGTTCAAATATTGTGTATCAAGCTTTTTCTGGACAACAATAGATGATGGGCTTCACTGCAAACACTATAAATTTCTTACTTTTCAGAAAACCCTCTTCTTACAATCTCCATAGAAAAATATACAAACAAAATGGATTTGATACACAGATAAATTAATACATGCACATGCTTATGTCAGTATAAAGTTCAATGGGGGTGAATTCCCAAACCTAAAAAATGTTGAATACGTTGATGAGACCTTACCCTTTGTCTCTTTTCACATGTCAAAACAAAAAGTGCACTAAAATCAGGCCCGTAGCCAGGGAGGTTCAGGGGGTTCGAAAGAACCCCCCCTTTTGCGGAGAAAAGGTCCCTTCTGGGTAAAATTTTATCTAGGTACATGAAGGTTTCATGGTAAAAGGTCCACTTTTTCAGAAAAAGAAGCCCCCTTTTGAAATTGCTGGCTACAGGCCAGAAAATAATATGTACACATGTTTTTTTCAACTTTTTTCAGCCCAAAAATATATATATGCCCATAAAATATGGACCAGATGTTAATCTTCTGAATACCCTGATTTTAGTGAGCCATTCTATGTATTTGAACGTCCTGGGAGTTCACATCCTAGAGGTTATACCTAACTTATTATTAGAAATTTAATCATTTTTTTCATACAGATGGTTTGCACATTTGTCTGCAAAAAATTGGGAAAACTAAGTAGCAAATGATTAAATACGCAGCTAATTCAGAGCAGCATAGCCAAAATTTGCTTTTAGAACAATAATTTATAAGAGCAGGTAAATAAGAACCAATACCTAAAGGATCAATACCTAAAGGAACATCTGTAGGGCTTTAAAATGTTCAATGAAATATTGGTGGAATTCGAACTCAAGTTTTTCCATATGACTGCATATTATTTTTGGCACCTGGCCTGCCCAGCCCCCCCATTTTGTAAGCCATCTGGGTTCAGTTAAAGTTGCTGCATATGGCATCACACAAATACCAACTATAGATAAACTGAGCAAGAGTTTCGTTTCTCATCCTCAAATATGAATGCATAAACCCATGCATGCACATGCATGTAAACACACATATACTCACTTCAAAGTTTTTTCAAATATGGGATGGATGCACAGTGTTCAGTTCACAAATATTATCTCCAGACTTGTTAATTAATTTGATTGGAGTCGCTTGCTTGTGCACTCGACTCGTTTTATGGCCTTACCTGTAATTATGCAATGTAAGTGGATGTGTGCAATTTGCGTAATTAAAATCAGTGAACACCGCCAAATAATGCAGCACAGAATCCACCATTGATAAGAAATATGTATAAAAGACGTTCAGAATTAATATCGGAGAGAGACTCGAAAGAGACCGCTCGACAAAGCCATGGGAGACGGCTTAGAAGTTGGAGACTTCACGTAGATGATGTAGTTGGAGAGCATCAACCAATAAACCATTTAACTGGTCATTATGTGGACTTGGGTTTTCTTTGTGCGACCTCACCGAAATCTGACACGAACCATGGAATCTTTGGATTGCGTTATCCACTAAGTAAGTCTAAAACGTAATGTCCTATTTCGAGCCCACGCTTGAACTAAACGTACAAAATTATATAAGTTTAGGACATTCATCCCATATGTATATGTAAAAGGCTGTACATAACAACGATATAAACCAACACATAGACTTACCCTTTCTTTTTCTTTTTTAAGGGGACATCAAGCAAGTATTGGTATGAACTGCTCTCCTCTGAACAATTACTAAGCATCGATTCCAGGGATCTCTGCTGATGGACAGTGATATGAGAATCAGTAAGAATATCAAGCACATTTAGCTGGTTTTCCTGCTGTAGAGTAATTGGCCAGCCATTCCCATCTAAAAACTGGATGTTTTGAAAACCTTCCATCTAGTGAAAAAAAATAATTGTTTACAAACCATACACCAAATGATCATCACATGAAAACTGGTTTACTGTCAATATGCATCTGTACTTTAAAAAGTTGTACGGTAATTCTCCAATCTATACGAACGCCGCAATAATTACGAACGAAACGTTTTTTCTCTGAATCTGAATTTTTTGTCTCCGTTCTGTACGAACGATCGGTAAACTCACCTTGGGCACAATTTAAATTTTCCGAACGCAAGAAAGTGTGCCCAATTGAAACTCGCCCCATGATTCGTCAAAGCGAGTTTTCAGGCCACCGTTCCAAANAATATTGGTGGAATTCGAACTCAAGATTTTTCATATGACTGCATATTATTCTTGGCACCTGGCCTGCCCAGCCCCCCCATTTTGTAAGCCATCTGGGTTCAGTTAAAGTTGCTGCATATGGCATCACACAAATACCAACTATAGATAAACTGAGCAAGAGTTTCGTTTCTCATCCTCAAATATGAATGCATAAACCCATGCATGCACATGCATGTAAACACACATATACTCACTTCAAAGTGTTTTCAAATATGGGATGGATGCACAGTGTTCAGTTCACAAATATTATCTCCAGACTTGTTAATTAATTTGATTGGAGTCGCTTGCTTGTGCACTCGACTCGTTTTATGGCCTTACCTGTAATTATGCAACGTAAGTGGACGTGTGCAATTTGCGTAATTAAAATCAGTGAACACCGCCAAATAATGCAGCACAGAATCCACCATTGATAAGAAATATGTATAAAAGACGTTCAGAATTAATATCGGAGAGAGACTCGAAAGAGACCGCTCGACAAAGCCATGGGAGACGGCTTAGAAGTTGGAGACTTCACGTAGATGATGTAGTTGGAGAGCATCAACCAATAAACCATTTAACTGGTCATTATGTGGACTTGGGTTTTCTTTGCGCGACCTCACCAAATCTGACACGAACCATGGAATCTTTGGATTGCGTTATCCACTAAGTAAGTCTAAAAAGTAATGTCCTATTTCGAGCCCACGCTTGAACTAAACCTACAAAATTATATAAGTTTAGGACATTCATCCCATATGTATATGTAAAAGGCTGTACATAACAACGATATAAACCAACACATGGACTTACCCTTTCTTTTTCTTTTTTAAGGGGACATCAAGCAAGTATTGGTATGAACTGCTCTCCTCTGAACAATTACTAAGCATCGATTCCAGGGATCTCTGCTGACGGACAGTGATATGAGAATCAGTAAGAATATCAAGCACATTTAGCTGGTTTTCCTGCTGTAGAGTAATTGGCCAGCCATTCCCATCTAAAAACTGGATGTTTTGAAAACCTTCCATCTAGTGAAAAAAAAATAATTGTTTACAAACCATACACCAAATGATCATCACATGAAAACTGGTTTACTGTCAATATGCATCTGTACTTTAAAAAGTTGTAGTCTAGAGCCTTTTTCAACTAAAAATCAATTGAACAAATGCAAAACTTTTTGACACCTGTACAACTGACTCAAAATACAAGTTTTTACTAGTAATTGTTTTAGCACATAGCATTACCAGGTATGTGTACTTATGCAAAATATCAGGAGAAAAATTACCTGTGCTGACATTTCAAGCCTCAAACATCTTAGGCTGCTCTTTAAATCAATAAATACAAATCCTAATGAGTAGCCATTTAACATCTGTATACCTATCCTTGGCTTGGCTGAATAATAATAATAATAATAATAATAATAATAATAATAATAATAAATAATAATAATTTGGCCATCTAGAAATCTAATTTAGATATAATTTTGTACTTTGACATATCAAAACTTGACTTATAGTGATAATCTTTCTGTAAAATCATAAAAAAGAAAAGTGATCATTCCAAGGCTACAAAATGATTGCCATCCATTATTGGTAAAATAGATCAAATTATACCATTATACCATACTCTCTGGGGGGAGTGGGGATAAGTTTTCATATTTCATTCATTACCTACCAAAGCACCTTTCTATGACCACAGTATTTCTTTGGGATATAACCTTCTTTGCTGCAATATCTGCCTCTTGATTCCGCAATACTGGCCATCTAAAAATTAGATTTCAACCAAATCTATAAAATAAATTTATTGAGTTTTTCTTTAGTTATAATGGGTACATCATAAAAAAAATACAGATTGGAATGTTTGATTCAAGAAGTATCTAAATGAAAATTAGGAAAAAAAAAAAACGAAGTAATTACCTCATCATATATACATGCAATGTGTTACAGTTATGGGCCAGAAACAAGACTGGTCAATATCTTCAGGCCTCCCATTTTCCCACTGTTATAATAAATGTTGCTTATGAAGTGAAGCATTAAATCCATCTCCATCAACCACTCCCCTGACAGAGGTACTTAACACATTTTCAAATACACAGATTTTAAGAGCATAGTTCTTCATAATAGCTTCAGCTAGGAGTGTTATTTACAGCTATCTTTAAATCAAACTTAAAGTCTACTTAACTTAATTAACATCAATGTATACACAGTCTGCATGATGTTATTTGTGTGTTTATTTATATTAAGGTCTAAAAAACTATTCAATTATATTGTTACTGAAAACCACTTACCCTTGTTTTGTTTGGAACTTGAATGCCACAGGCAGAGGGCTGATTTGGTTACATATCAGGGTACGAAGGCGTGCAATGCTTGTAAGTTCTGAGGGCTTTGTGATTAATATTCCAAGACATACACCATCAGGCTGTCCAGCATTTGTGACCTTCCTTGTATGAGCCCCTGCATACGGAATAGTCCCTGGTGAACGTTCCTTGTTACATAGATGGACACCAATCAAAAAATCATCTTCAACTGAATCTATATATAGAGAGAAAAAATTACCATTATACACTGCGTTATAATAATTTTTACAAAAGGCTCACCAGGCAACATGAAATAAAAATAACCAAATTAATCAATTAAGATCATAAGCAAAATAACTACAAATAAACCATACTCAGTACATACTTACATGTAACAAGTCAATCAACAAAATAATATTTTTCAACTCTTCATAATATATAGGATCCTACAGAACTTTTTCATAAGTTTACCCACCAAAAAGAATTTTCCTGAATTTATGACATAAACAAAAACTAGCCAATATAAAAAAAGATGTTCAGTGGGCAAACTGACCATAGAGCATGCTGGAGAACACCCTGCATATTAATAAAGTAGAATTAAAGGGTTGTTCATATAAGGTGGCACAGTGATGATAGGACCAAGATGGGTGATGAGACAAAGTGGAGAACCCAAGTAATGTTTTGATCAGATTTTCTTTACTGGTAGGTGATGGAAATTATACAGGGAAAACACAGAATTTACATGTACGTCGGACAAATGATTCATGAGAAAGTGACTTGCGTTTGCAGGCAAAAACGACATAAATTCTGGTTGCCTAACGCCAGAACCCACTTGCACCGGGCAAGTGACGCCAAAAGTACGTATGACAGGTATGGCGAGTCCTGCCGGATTATTTCAAATTTACGGCAAAATTAGTAGATAATTTCTACTTTACAAGAAAAAAAAATACCAGTATATATATCACTGAAATGCAGTTGAAACAAATCTAGAATAAATTCTTTCCTCAAGGACGAAAATGGAAAAATATCACAAAAAATGCTAATCTCAGCTCTTTCTAAATTAACGTTGCTGAAGCTCAGTCGTTTGATCCATAAATGTACATACCGTGTATGTAGCTACAGGTAGTATGCTCCAGTCAAAAATACTTACCGGCTTCACTGTTGACACTATCACGTACATGTTGGTCTACTTTCACGTATTTCGACATCGTTACTGAGCTGTCACATCCTGTGGTCGTGGCTTTAAGTATTTCTTCTAACGTTAATCAACTTTGAAGGTCGCTCCCAACTCCATCTCGCACATGTTGTTTGTCTACACAGTATCTGATGACGTCATGCATGTAATTAACACTTTAGGCAGACTCTTGCAAGTGTATTTTAGATCGTTTAAAAAACTTCCGTAATTCTTTTTATTATATGAATTTGCACTGCTTAACATACAGAAAAGCTTCACATCCAGCCTGTAAGGAAATAAGGAAAAACTAATAAATTTCGGTAGTTTTACTGTAGTCCCAAGGCCGCTTTATCTCTGACGTACAACACAAACATCTGCAAAAGAAGGTTGGTATGCTATCATAAATTTCCTGCTCAGTGTGGTGAATGTAAATTTTTGAAATTAAGGGAGTGGTTATTGCCCTTTTGTTTTTGTTCTATTATACACAAGAAATTAGATTGTTCTAATTTACCAGAACCTCCTAATGTGCTTCGGTGACATCTTTAACATCAACCGTGTTTACACAGTTCAACGGCAGATTCATTGCACTTGAACCACGGCATGACGGGTCTCACAAGACTGTTTTTGATATAAGTAATAACATAAATCCAAAAATTAATATGTATTAGTATGGTGTATTTTGAACTTAAAAATAACGGGATTTTTTTTAATGAATGTGTTTTTCAATCGGAAACTGGTTTGATCGTGCAAATGTAACAAGTATAAATTATAATTATTCTTGGAATTTATTTTATTTTCAAAATTACAGACTAAAATCACCCCAGCTGCATGCAGCCCACCAAGGAAACTGTGGCATTCCAGTAAAAAAAAGGGGCACACTGGCTGTCTACCTGGAGCGGCGTTACTTAAGCCAAGAAGACAGTGACTTTTTTCAGCTAGTTACGTCAGATATTGGCTTTTTCTTACAAAAAGCAACAGTTGACAGGTAAGAACATATACTTAACAATATTTGCAATTAATAGAATAAATTAACAGAATGAAAATTATTGTAAACATAAAATGTAGTTATTGATGCTGTGCAATAACTAAACATTTTTTATAGGTTAGAATGATGTCAGTAATATGTAACTAAATTATATCAATAAATCATAAAACATTTCTGTCTTGTTCAGACTTATTACATTTTTTCTTCTAAATGAATAAGTCAGTAGATCTATATTTAATTAGTCACAATGTCTTTTGCAAATGTATTAAGTTATATGATCTATGTAGGATACATGTTTGTTAATTTGCAAATAATATAAATTCAATAATGGTAATAGTAAAAGGCTGTGTTCATGACATCTAGTTTAATGGACTGATTTTTTCTTTGCAGTGTCCTGGTCTTTCCTCCAGTAGACAACTATCATCGTTTATTAATTCACAAAGCTACAGAAGATTTCCAAGATTTGTGTAGTTTTTCAATAGGAGAAGGAGAAGACAGGAGAACTACTGTCTGTCACCAACTCACAGTACTGAGGTACATGTATGTTAAATTCACCCTGACAGAATCTTCCAAATTAAACATTAGAGTTTCGCAGTAAAGGCATGTTTTCAAACAGCCTACATGTAACTTAGAAACTATCCTTATTGATAACATGTTAAGCCTTCAACTAGGTAGATTTTACAATTTGGTTTGATATTCTGCTTTATGGGGCACCTGTGTGTTATTTGACTTGTGATGCCAGTCTAGTTGCATGTCTGTTAGTCTAGTTCTGATCATGCCATTGATAGATAAAGTAAGTGCTGTTGTGTCCAGTAATGGCAAAAATTGTTAATAAATTAATTGTCGACCAGGAAATCTACTGAAAACTGAAAAATTCTCTTCATTTTTGTGAGTAATTATGTCCAACATGACTGTCATGCAGTCAGTATGATAACCAAACAATGTTTTTAAAAGATCAAGTCCAGTAAAATTGTTTACTTCTTGTTATTATTGCAGGGGCTTTCAGATGGAGAATGACAGAATTGCGAAAGTACAAGGCAGAGACAAAAAGAACAGTAAACCTGCAAGTGAAGATTTTCCAGTAGAACAGTCCAAGACTAGAAACAGAACCTCATCAGAATCTCCACTGTCACAGAGAAGGAAAAATAAGGATGATGAAAAGAAGAGGTAGGTTAAGTGAAATACATATAGGGATCTAAATTTTTGTATCCAAGTGAATTGGAGTTGAAATTGAACATTAATTTTAAAAAATTGAAAAGTGATCAAATTCCATGAAATGGACTGTTTTGTGCCAGTAATACACTCCCAATACCTTCAAAAACTTGACAGTGGACTTGCTAGTAAAGTTACATATTGATATTCAACCCTGTTAACATGGTTATAGAATGTTATGTGCCTCATATAATGAGTTATATTGCATTAATTTTATCTTTTGCAAGATAATAGATATTTTGTTCCAATGTTTCATGATACAATAGAACAAGAACAAAGCGACCAGAAGTGCAAGTTTATGTACCAAGAGGGAGACGTACACAAGATGTTTCACCTTTACCAACTGATATAGATAATCAGCTTCATTGGCAAGCTACACATGCTTCTAGGGAAAATTCTCGGGAGAATGTGCCTACCCAACAACGTGTAAAAACCTTGGAGGATGCAGCAGAAAGTGAGACTGCAGCATTTCAAGTACCACAACTTGGTAGATCCCGGAAATCAAGACCTAGTGCTCAGGTATATGTACCTAGACAAAGAAGGCAGCAAGCACAAGATGCTTCTTCAGAAGATGGTATTAAAGTTGATACAACAGATGAAACTAATGAAACTAGACCAGTTGAAGAACCCAAAGGGGGAAATGCTATAGCTGTGCAAGACAAACCCATTAAATCTGAAAATGAAAGAAATTTTGGAGAAAGTTCAAGTGGAATATCTGTGATCAATTCATATGACAAAAATGACTCTTTAAGAGAATTAGAACTGACAAAATTAAAAACCTGTAAGCACAAAAAACATAAACATAATTCAAAATCAGAGGATAATCTCTCAAATTCCCTAGTTGGTGAAGAAAAGGGAAACAGAAAAAGGAAGTTGAATAACAAACACAAACAGCACTCCAGGTCGCCATTAGAACATTCTGGGAAAATGGAAGCATCTCCTGTCGAAAGAAGAAGTCCAATCAATCAAACTGTGGATGATGAGTTTAGTTCAACATCTGATGGCAAAAATGCATTGCCATTAGTACAAAAGGAGGATGTAGTATGTAATGAGTTGGAGTTACCTACATCTCTAAACAAGGGTGAAACCTCCACAGTGGAAATGCTATTAAATTCAAGTAACATAAACGAAGATGACAAGGACAAAGATGTTGATGTACAGTCAGATGTACATATAGGAGAAACACTTAAAGGGGCAGAATCTTCGGACTCTGTGTATAGTGATGCACAGCAGAGTGTCCAGGGTGAGACTGATCATGTAGAAATGGAACAGCCTTGTGCCCAAAGATTGGAGGAGGAAACAACTGTCTTGCTTATGAATTATTCAGGGTCTGAAGAGAATACTCTTATAGAGGGGGAGTCCTTACCAGTAGACTTAAGGGGGGAAACGGTTCACTTTCAACAGTCAACAGATTGTTTAACAGAGGAAAATGTTAATAAAGAGGAAACCATATCAAATACATGCAGGGACACATACCACAATGGGGTTTGCTCTGAGGAAACAACTCAGGAACTTCAAAAAGAAGATGAAGTATTAGAAATGAAAAATGAACCAATTCCTGAACACATTAATGAAACAAATAGAATGCCAACTGAAATAAACAATATAAATAAAGTAGAATTCTCAGAAAAAGATGATCTTATAGACAAGAATTGTACTAACCCAATATCTGACAAATCTTTACATGAAGAAAATCTGTTGGTAACTACATGTAATACCAGTTATGTCAGTGAAGAAAATGTAGAACAAACTCAAGATGAAGATGAAGAAGAAGCTGAAGATTCATGGGATAAAATGTTTGATGATGATGGAGAGTGTCTAGATCCTAAGTTAATGGAGGAGGTGAGAAAAATGACCAGAATTTCATATATATATATAATAATTTGGGAATTTTGAGCATTAGGACATGGTCTTATTAATATTTTCAGTTGACTGTAGCAGGATTTAGTGTAATGTCATTATTGGTAAAATTATTTCATAAAGATTTTAAAATTATTTAGTAATATCTTAATTTACAACTTTATAACAGGAATGCAGGTATCTAATTTTTGAAGGAAAATAAATAATTTTATTATTACCCTTTATTACCCTATTGAATGAATATATTTAAATTTGTCATCTTTCATTTAGTGATCAGAATATATATATATATAGAGAGAGAGAGAGAGAAAGAGAGAGAGAGAGAATGATTTGGGATTTTTGAGCATTATGCCTTGGTCTTATTAATATTTTCAGTTGACCGTCGCAGTGGGGAAGGTGAAGGTACAAAAACCTCAGTTTGATTACCTCAACTTCCAGCCTAAAGACCCAGAGTTGGACCAGGAGTGTAAGTAATGGGACCTTATAAAAAGTGCTTCAAAATAATAAATGACACATATTTTACTGATTTGATGAAATTAATTTGTTGAAAATTGTACCAAATTTTTATTTTTCCAGTGTATGGGCATCTCATAGAAATATATGACTTCCCAAAAGAATTTGAAACAAGGGATCTTATAACTGCATTTCAGGCTTTTATGTAAGTTCTTTTCAATTTTATGACATAAAATGGTGTTTTGTTTAGTCGTTCCTAATCCTTTTGTTATTCAGAAGTGACACTTCCTATAAATGTGACCTGTTCCTATAGAAAATTGATCATGTATTTCTCAGCAAGTAGTGTGTCATTAGAATTATTTCAAGGACTTAAGACCAATAAAAGATGTACTATGAAGTATTGATGCAGATAATGCACCAAATATAATTTGGCTTCAGCTGGCTTGTTTCTTTTGTTGTCAAACAATTCCTGACATTGGATTGAATTCGTACCTTAATTCACATAGAAAATATATGTGTAACTTTATATATACTGTTTCATGAAACATAAATATTGATGTATTTTCTTAAAGGAGTAGGGGGTTTGATATCAAGTGGGTTGATGACACTCATGCTATAGGTGTTTTTGCAAGTGCTGTGGCAGGTAAGTGAAAACTGCAGGAATGTTTATATAAACTCCAGCAACACCATTAGTGGGCTATTGCTCTGTGTGCCATTAAACAAATTTATATTTTTATTAACTTCATTAAAATTCTTGTCATGATGTTAAATATATAAAAGTGAAATTAAGCGTTCTAGTTGATGTTATTTCATGTGGTCTGTTGTGTTTAATCACAAGCATAAATGGTCTGATTACAACAGGTGAAGTTTGTGTCTTTTTATGTACATGTTGCTGCTCTTCTTTTCACAGCTCAGGATGCTCTCTGCATGACCCATCCTCTCTTCAAAACACGTCCAGTTTCCCAGGCTACAAGGCAGACTAAAGTGAAGGCTAAGAGGTGCACTGGTAAGGACTTAGTGAACTGAGTTTATGCTTAATGTGAATTCATTGCAACTACCAGAATAAAGATATTGAATATCATTTGATGCAGTTCTATAAAGTCCCGAGAGATTTCCAATAGGCATGAGGTTTTCAACAATAAAATTTATATGAATTTTAGGTAATTTAATTTAGGAAAGTTACAATATTATGCACAAACCGAAATGAATTCTAGAAATATTGTAACAAGTGTAATTTTTATAGAACTTAAAAATTGTTCTTTATTCAGAATTTTTACAGCCATACAAGCCCCGTCCAGAGACCACTGCTGCAGCTGCCAGGAGATTGGTAGCAGGTGCCCTGGGGATTGCCACCAATGTGCCCAGAGAGAAAAGAGAACTAGAAAGAAAACAGCTGAAAGAAGCAAAAGGTATGTAACCTCCAAAAAGCTTTACAGTAAGTTAGTAGCAGGTTCCAAATGATTTGTCAAATTTGTGGTTTAATATATACTTGTAAAAGATACATCAAGTTTTAAATGCAGAAAAACACTGTCTGCATTTGATTCTTTTAATAACAAAAGCAATACCCTTGTGCTATCATTTTTGAAATTGAAAATGTTTGGTAAATGATGCTGTAGGCTACCACATATCCGAGACATTGATGCTTGAAAGATATATATAATTTGGTCAATGTCAGTACAATAATTTCTTGATTTTAGAACGTAAACGGCAGCAGTCAAAACTCAAACGAGATGCATGGGATGGCACAATAGGAGGACGATGTGCAATGGACATAGAAGACGACTGACCCATGATTGAAGCCATATTAGACAATTTGATTTCTTCAGAAATCTAGCTTAACCTCAACCCTCTAGGTACCCCACCAGATATGCTAGAAAAAAGTTATATATTAGTTACTGAAATGCCATCACTAGAACTTGAGTGAAATACTTATTCTGAACATGGCTCAATACACTTTTTTCCACTTATTTAAATTCTTTTTGAAAATGGAAATTTACAGAAAACGTAATACCAAGTATTGTTTGAAAAACCATTTCTTGCTTTAAGTTTGCCCATTATATTTTCTATTTTATGTTTTTATAAATACAGTGGGCATTCCATAACTTCAATTATAGAACATCACAACTTTAAAAAGTTTTAATTTGCATTTTTTAAATATTTTTACTTGATGGCAATTTAGCTAAGTGTATTTAATAACTTGCTTTGTACTTGCTTAAAGATCTTGTTATGTGAAATATTTGGCAGTGCAAAATATTGACTTTTAAATATTTGATGTATTAAGGATGTAATGATGCTCTTTAGCAGAATCTAAACTTTTAATAGAACTGAAAAATAAAAAGATTTTTTCTCCTTCAGTCATTTTATGTTTCAAATGGGACATTGTTTCAAGGTGGTACAATTTTATTGGCTTTAAAATGAAAGTATTTTTGCTTTAACTAACCTTCTTCTGTCACATGGATGATGCAGAATAGAAGTACTACTGATGATTTTATATCTCTATCGAGATCAATTGAAAGTCTTTGAAAATAGAAACCTCCAAGCTAAAGCATGATTTACTATAGAGGGAATTTGAAGGGCAACCAAAATGATTGCTTCGTATTTTGTAACTAAGCACTGTTTTTGCAGGGAGGATGAAATTACTGTTGCAAAGTTCTAAAACAAGGCAGCAAAGCTGTCAAATGTACAGACAAAAAGCAGACAATAACAATGCACAAAATAGGCTACTGTCAATTCTGATGCAAAAGTACATTATGCTTAACTGCAAATTCAACATCAAATTTTAATTATGCTCAACAGGTAATACCAATGTAAGTGAAATGTGTAACCAACGTTAGGCTTCAGGCCCATGGGAGAACTAGTTCACACTTAGAAAGTGCCAGAATGAGAAAAATGGAAATTTCACACAAAACTGCACAAATTCAATAATAAATGATAACCCAATTGAGCTGGCTTTCTAATTTTGAAGTGCATGCCAATCCTAAAAATCATACTTGTAAGTTGAATATAATAATAAGTAACACAGTTTTCTTTTCATAATGTTTGTAGTAGCAGTGCAAAAAGATTTTTGTCAATTTTGATGTAACATGACATAATAAATTACAGAATAATTATCACCAATTTTTGATTATTGACTATAAATAGCATGGACATGTAGACAATTTGATTACCATTTGGCTTCATGTCCATGGGAGCTTGGAGTCCCACAATGAATATGCCAACATGATAAAAATGAATATTTCACTAAAATGTATAACTTCCAGAAAAAGAAGCCAATTAGACTGCTTTTCCAACTC